TTAAAATTATTATGGCCTTCATGGCTGCACTCCTAGATCCTAGATCAATCAGTCATATGGTCAGTAATTGAGATGCATTGTCTACTGTCCACGTCGACGTCGAGTCATGGGGAACACAATATTTGACATGATCACATTTCGCTTCATACCTATATTTTAAAAGGAATCTTACTAATTTTATAAATGCTAAAGTTTGTTAGTATGGATAGATAGATAGATAGATGTATTGATGGATGTTTGTAACTGTTTCACGCAACAACTACTGAATGGATTTTGATGAAACTTTACAGTAATATAGCTTATATATTAGAATAACATATAGGCTATAAGGGCGCAGCTAGTATTAATATAATGGAAGTAAGGATGTATGGGTGTTTGTGGCTTGGCTGGCTTGAAAATGGCTTGTGTATCCGAATAAAACATAGGCTATAATTTACAAAGATATTGTGCGAATTTGTGAATATATTTGTAAGTCTACACTGTTATAAAACTGAGAGCTATCCTTGTTACGCTGCATAAACTATGAGTCACTGTACGATAATGCATGATCAGATTAAACTTAATTCTATGTAAAGTAGTAAATTTGAAATATTCTAACACTGTAAGAAGAATCTCTAATTTACAGCACTAAATTAATTTATACGTCAAAATAAAGATCTTTTATTTTAACGTGGGGAAAATCGCTCATGGAGTCCCGCCCGTCTCAGGAAGTCAAATAAAGACGTAACCTAACCTTTTATCGGATTTGGTATTAAAAGAGGTACCTTGGTTGTCCATAAGGAGCTATTATTATTATTATGTTGTCTCTTATACTTACAAGTAATTTGATAATTATTTTTAGAGCTTAATTATTATACTATTAAAAAGTATTTTCCTCTAATATTATTTTATCTAGGCCCTGCAATTGCTCTAACTATCTTATATTTAAATCTAGTTTTCTGAATATATGTAGTTATGATCCACATTACATTAAAGACTAATTTAATATAAATTAAGAAAATAAAGTTTTAAGGATGAGCAACGCCATGTTAATTGGACAACTAATTAAACAATATATATATTATCGTGCTGTACTAATGATAAAATCGTTTAACTTCGTAAACACATAAATGGGGTGTAGGTGAAAATTTAAAACGGATGACGCATAACATTATTAGAATTAACTAGGTCATAGATTTTCTATGGATTAGTGCTTATGGGTATTAGTGGCGGATGACAGGATGAACATGCAGTCAGGTCAGTGAGGCCCTTATGAATACGTCAAGAATTGACTGACGGCCTCAGTGGTCAAGTAATACATATTCCATACCACTTTAATTCCGATGGTTGCGGATTGAATCTGGCATCGTACTAGGATTTGTATATAATGAGTATGTTTGTTTATATTGGTCCGGTTTTTTTGCTATGTATATTTTGCATGTATTTACAAAAAAAATGTATCTGTATTATCTGTTAGGTTGTTCGGAAAGTAATTTCTTTTTTTCCTGGCAGAGGATTTAATTGTATTTTTTTGCACCCAGTTCACACTTAAGCCGTATAATTTTTATATGCTTTGAGAGCTCATATAGTAAGGCTTGTGTGTGAAAAATTTCAATTAATTGTATGCAGTAGTTTTTGGTTGGTGCCCTTTTAAATATGGAGAGCGATAAGCAGTATTTTCCATATATCTTAGTGTCTTACTACAGAAAGGGCAGAAATGCTGTTCAAGCCAGAAGGAAATTGACCGATGTGTGCGGAGAAGGTTGGTTGGTTGATTCGCTAAATTTCGTTCCGGCAATTTTGATGTCCCCAGGCTCGGGAAGGCCGGTTGAAGCTGATAGAGACGCAATAAAGGTATTGGCTAATGCGACCAATGCATTTTATTGAAATATGTTAAAAAGAAATTTTCACTTATATATAAATAGTTTCTCACCCAAATAATCATTTTCAACGGTTACCCAGCGGTTCCTCGATATGGCATAAAAGTGATTGATAGACCATGAAAAGGGCTAAGAAAAAAAAAGGGTAAGAAAAACATGTAGAGTGCATATCTTATCTATATTTGAAACATACATAGAAATATATATGAATAGATAATGAGTATATTTTATAAATATTGTTTAATCCGGACTAAGTCAGTCTGTACCAGTAGGCAAAATCATCTAATTCATATGTCATAAGGTAGGATGGATATCCTACACAACCTATCCAACCCATAGGATGAGATAACTATGTATTATACATATTGCTGACTCCGGACAAAGTAATGGCTTGCCAATAGTAAGGCATTAACATTTTAATTTCACTTTCATTGTCGGAGAAGGTCCTCAATTGCATTTTTTTTTGTAAATATTTAACTTTCACTGACATTGTAATAGACTTAAGACTCTTATCATAACCCGACTAACTAGAGGTCAAGATGCCACCGTTACTTTTCCTACAGTAGTCTCCCATACAAAGTGGTTATTAGAAACTTTAAACTAAACAATAATATAATTAGAAAATCAACGTGCTCTTTATTGATAAGAGACGCGTGTCACGGATGTTTGAGTCTATTAGCGGTTAACTCATCATAGATAATGTTACACGATATTAAAAATACATAAATGTAAATTTACTTGTGAATAATCTATTTAATTGTCTCAGCATTAAATGTGAACTAGCAAATAAATTAACGGTAATCTGGCGGTAAATGGAAATCGATGCCTGCACAGGAACAGCACCAAGGACATAACGCGTTGTGATGTCTGTGATTCACTAATTTCTTGATATTTCTGGGAATGTACTAAAAGGTCTACAGACCGAACTAAAATCGGTGAACAACGGGGCCGTGTGACGTTTTATATATCATGAATTAGTAGCTTAGCTTTAATTTTGAATTTATTAATTTAATTATTTTTAATATTGCTTACATTATAAATGCGAAAGTTTTGAGAAATAATGGAAAGAATTGATGCTTGTTACTCTATGATGCAAAATCTACTGTAAGGGTTTTGGTGAAACTTTACAGTAATATAGCTTAGACATCATAACACATCAACTTTAGACACACTTTAAAAGCTACAGGCAAACATACATACAAAATATATAGACATATAAACCTTCATCTTGAATCACTCTATATATTGCTGTAAACTGTATTAAAATCCGTCGCGTATTTAAAAGATATAAGTAGTCAAAATTGTTTTGTTTTTATTTAACGATTACATATATATGTTAATCTACAAGCTATTTATATTATGAGCCATCAGAAGCCTGAAATAAACATAAAAAACAATATATCAGATAGTACGTCAGCCAGTCCATTAACATAAATATATTTGTTAAATTAAATAAAAATAGTTCCTGGTGCATTCTAGCAATAAGTGGATAGTGATAAAAACTTTCTCGCGTTCCTAGAAAATTGTGCATAATTCCCAATGCAATAACAAATTGCAGAGTTCCACGTAATTATTATAGTGCTTACAAGACAACTTGATCATTAAAAACGCGTTACGAGTAAAGCGAAGTACATTTGACATTTTAAACCCATAACCAAAGCACGTGATTAGGAATAAAAAACAGAATTTCTAGAAGTAGAACTTCATACTCCTTTTTGTGAGATTATCCCCACAGAGTGTACGAAAATAACGCGAAACTTATTATAACAACTTCAAGTTTATACAGAGGAGTACAGAACGTTAATATTTATTTGTATTAAAATAATATTAAACATATTCATAACATTAATACTAGATTTATAGACAAAGTTGCTAGTCCTATGCATCGGTTAGAAAAAGTTAAAAGGTTTTTTATGGGAATGGGTATAAAATTTTACAATAAGATACCAAAGGATATATATAGAATTACATTAAAAAAAAATTAAAACATCTGTTAAAAGTTTATGCTAGACAAAATTTTAGACAAAGATACTTATATAAGTATATAGGTACAATGCAAATAAACTGGGTTTTAATAAAAAGAAATTCAGTTGAGTTTCTTGCCAGTTCATGTCAATTGAATTTGTATACTAACTGGACGGTAGGATAAATATATTATTTAAAAAAGTTGACGTTCATAAGCGGCTAAAATGCTCTACATGAATAAATGATTTTTTATTTTGATTTTAATTATATAAAAAATATTTACCTTACACATACTATCTATGATTTTCCTATGTTTTTGGTAATCTCATATAGAATAGATTAACTTTGTTTACCGGAAAACTTAACCATTTTTTCCTCGCGCTTAAGCAATCTCTACCAAACAACCTTAAGGTTAAGTTAGCAACTGACTGTTGCCAAAAATAAAAAGAAAAAACAATTACGTTAAGATTCTTCTTAAAGCACAGGGAACTAATGAGCATGTTATATGCTCATTAGTTCCCTATATCTATTAATTGCTATTTCTTTTTTACCTCCACACTAAGAAATAGCAGGTCAGTTGCTAACATTAAGGAGGAATAAGCTCTAAATTTGAAGCTTTCGATTTATAGTACGGTTCGGAAATTCCATTGCTGGGAGGTGATTCCACAATTAATGAGGCCACGGAAAATATGTGATTCATACCGAAGGAATATTTTTCAGTACTCTCAGTGTCCAACTCGCATATTACTGAGATGAATTAATACAATAAAACAAAGAAAAATATAGTAGGGCCGTAAAAATAATTGCCTAATAATTACATTTACTGTTATTATGCATGTGATACTATACCTATCTTTGGCGAAAATAATGTTCGTTGAAATGAAAATAATATAAATGTTTCGTTGATTCTTTTTGCAATTGATTATATTTTTATATTCGATATATAACACACGACACAATTTTTTTTTAAATAAATAAAATATATTCCGCTTATTTTACCAATTCCTGATCTTTTCAAATAAAAAAAAACAATTCATTATTAATAAACAAAATATTCAATTATACAAATATTATCGAAGATCTTTTAATATTTTTAGAAAGAAATCTACACACTATTCTCGAAATATATTAAAAATATATTGGAAAAAATAAAAAAAAATTGTTCTAAGTACTCACTCAATACAGCTATGATGACTTGATTTATTTTACTCCCTTCCGAACAATATTTTTTCACAGTGTTCTTTAACATTTTTGTTTTATTTTTACTTTTTTTTTCTGTGGCGAAGAAAAAAAATAAAATGACACGCACGCGGTAAGACGAAGCGATGCGTACGGTCAAGTCACAACCGGCGGACGACCGATGTGAGACTTTGCACAAGTTTATACTGCGTACCGTACTGTACTATAGTACAGTCGTCTTGATTAAAACTGTTAAGTATGATAAACACAAATACAATAAATAAATAATAATAATAACCCTAGAGAATTCACACGTCCCAAGCTAAGGAGAGCTTGTGCTAGGTCACTAGAAAACTAATATAAATACGCATAAAAATACATTTTTCACTAATAATATAATTATACATATTTATGTATATAAACTTTGTAATTGAATTAGTCTATATATCGATCCGCTGCGTGGTTTAAAAGATGTAACCGTACAGACAACGGCGACGACTTTGTTTTATACTATGTAAAGATTACATATTGTATGCCCTCCGTGATCTAGCGGTTTAGCACATCACCTCACTTCCGATGGCCGCGGATTCGATTTCTCGCAATGTACAAACATTTGTATACATTAATATGATTGTTTGTAAAATGTAATGTATAAATATTTGTTCTCCTCAACCGACGACATGTCGCTTGAAAAGTAAGTACTAAGAAAAAGTGTTAAGTGGCTGGTGTTATAATGATAATAATGGTAGTAAAAAGTCTAAATAAACCCCAGCATACAATTTACCATCGTGTAACATTTTTATGTAGCTGACTGTACTACGTATACGTACTGTACTGTACTACATACACTTGGACGAGCGAATTAATTATTTTTAATAATAGAATAGCATCATAGGCCTGTGGTTTACTGCCTTCTCTATTGATATGGAATGTTTTTTTGGTGTATTGTTTATCTCACGAGCTCACTAAGAATTCCAATCTGAGCGTCATAGGGGTAAGAGGATTGTTATTAATATGGATTGATGTCCCCATAACTAGTAATGTACCGTATCAGGTTGACCTCCATGCAGTTCCACCTGGAAACCATCGTGATAAATTCCTAGTGTATTTGTCACGATGAGCTTACTGACCTGACCGTGTTCATCTGATCATTTTCCAATGGTGCCCCGCCAGCGTAAACCGTAAGCGTAGGCAGGTGCACCATTCCATTAACATCCGATAAAAAAAAATCTGACGTCATGGGTGTAATTTTAATTAGCCACGATAGATTCACTGACCTGTCCTCAGGCTTACAACTTAAAATGCATGCTGTTTGGCAGCTGAATTAAGAAGATAAAGGTACATAAGGAACTTTGTAGAAAATCTATCTTTGGTAGATTTAGTACTAATGTTTGCAGCTTTTATCGATATACAATATACTAGCTGTCCAGGCAAACGTTGTTTTGACATATAAATTAATATCGCTTATAAAAAATAGGTTCATGGTAGGGGTGAAAATTTAGGATTGAATTTATTTTTAATGCCTAAACATAAAAAAATTGTAAAAAAATAAAGAACATTTTTTGGGTGAGCCACCCTTATCACTTAGGGGTATAAAATTAGCAACCTATTCTTATGCCTACTATATATATAATATAATATATAAATTTTATATTTATATAAGATATAAAATTTATATATTAAGATGTATGTATATAAAAAATAATCTCTATTTCCCTTGGTAACAGCATCACACGTGACGGCTGTACCGATTACTCCAATTCCTTTTTTTGTGTTTGATATGGACAGAAAAACAGAAGAAGGGTCTTATAAAAAAATAACATTAAAAGTTGCGAGTATTTTTTAAATTATTTATATCAATGCGAAGTCAATACCAGGACAACCTCTGTTGGGTCCACTAGTAATTTGAACTAAACTTATTATATTTGTTGTATTCATAAATCAAATTCTCTTCGAATCGAAATTGAAAAAATAAACATCAAGAACTCCAGCTGGTATTTTAAATCATGTGCTTATTGGTCAATTGGGGTCTCTACACAATTTATTAAAGTAGGTACACCTATAGGTTTCTTTTTTAGGGTTCTTTATTTTAATGTTTTTTAATAATAGATCGTTGCACCCTTCAGCACTAACGGTATACGCTGGCTATTTTAAGAAATACTGGTATTTTAAGAAATCTAAAATCTTAACTGGGACAATTACCCAGGACCAGTGGAGAATAAGATGAGCATATCTGATCTGTTATATTGATAAATTCACGATCATATTCAGTGGGTAAAAAATTACTACGAACCACCCTGTCACCTTCGATGGTAAACTAATATTGATTTGTAAACTTAATTACGGTGTTGTATACCTACTTCTGTTATTTCTTTAAAATTTCTCAGATAGTATTATTTAATATATGTATTAGGTCTATCACATTATTATTTTATTTTTCTGACAACGGCACTTTTTTTTTTTGGTACGGTTTTTCCCGTTTTAGGGAAAGGCAAAAGGACTCAGCCCATATAGCCATTGTATGACTGACAAACAAGTATTTTGACAGTCATAGTTAGGGAGCTAGATGTAAGTAAACAACAGTTCAAATTCGGACATGACATAGTAACTACATGGCATGTAATATATAATCAAAATAAATTAAAAGATTTGTTTGATTTTGATATTGCTTGTTTTAATCGAGAAGATTTACTCCTCTGGTGTTGGTTTGTGGTCGTGGTTGTGGTTGGTTTTTGTAAATATGGAAAATATTTAAGAACATTCCATATATATTTCTTAAGTGTACTGTTAAAGTTTTTTATATGTATTGAGACTGTTACAATGTTTAAGTGGTGACCTGTACCTATCTACGTTCTATTAAACGATCAATGTTACATTTATCCATTAAAAAACGACTCAGTTTTAATTAAATTAAAGTTAAATCAATAATTAAAACAAGTAGAAATATTAAGTTTTATAAAATGTGTTTAGAAAATTATTTACTCTAAAGTTTCAATAAAACTAAATACCTACTAATAACGAAATCTATACTATAGTGGTATAAAGATAAAAATAAATGCATATATAATAATATTTATTACACATTTACACAGAATTATTAACCCATAGTAATAAAACATAACTGAGAGAGTAAGACCATAGTTTAAGTAACTTATAAAGTATTGTATAACATTAAAGTAGTGAACGGATACGTAAATATAATTATAATGAAAATTAAATACCTTGAATTATATTAATCTGTGGTCAAAGTATAGAGTACCGTTTCTTTGAACCTCATCAAGACTTGTCCGAGGTGTAGAGTTACTGGTAGCGTGCTACATAATTTATTACAACAGCTAAGGTTGCCCTTAACAAGTTATATAGTACAAATCAAAGTCGCCGGCGCTATGTATTCGCTTATATCTTTTAAATTACGCAACGGATTTTAATTTAATTTTCAGAAATAGATAGAGTTATCCAATAGAAAGGTTTATATGTATAATACATGCATGTTATATTATAAAACAAGCCGTTAAATTCAAAGATTTTTAACGCATCCGTGCGAAGCCGGTATGGATCGCCAAATCTCTAAAAACTGTTTTAAATATTGAGATGTTTTGATCTTATTTTAGAAGCTTTTTTCTTTATTTCAGAAGATTTGGCATACCGTCTTTTTTTCAAATTGAATTATAATAGACATGCAGGAAGTGCTTCAATCATTGCTTCCTAACCACTGTTCTGATATCGTTATCAGTTTATAGATGGTTTAAGTCAGCGATTGACAGCCCTAGTTATATGGAAGATGCTCAGACTCTTTCCCGTGGCATTCTGCACGCAAGACTTTTTCATTTTTAGTTATTTATAGCCTAATGCTTTATGCACACGGATATTATGTTAACAAATACTAATGTATGTTTGTGAATTAATAGTATATGTATAAAACCTTCACGGTCCCCTTAATAATAATATGATATCCAGTATCCTCAATCTAATAAGAGACTACTATTCACACTAATAATGAGTGCGTAGCGATTTCTATGTTGACTATCCTCTTACTTGTTATACTGAATTATTTATATAAAAAACATCTATTAAAAAGAGCAACACATAAGTTTCTTGCTCATTCTTCTTGTGATGAATCTGCATTCCGAATGAGTGGTAGAATCAAAATATGACTATTCAAAAGTGCTGGTAATGAGTTTATTTGAATAAAGATTATTTCTATTTCTACTAGACGTAGATGTTTCCATTACCGTAGTGTAAGTCAGAAATCTATCCAGAGACAACGAGTTTTGGTGCCAGACAGGTTAGACGTTTTGATCTTTGTAAAATGGATGAGTATGTATGTATATCACAGTATGCTCTCCTTTTAATGCACAAGTTATAAATAGAGGTACATACTTGAATTTAGACTGAAAGAGTATTTTGCATAAAAATACAAAATTTATGCAACAATCTCAAAAGCTTCCAAACCAAATATCTGCAATCTAACTTTACAGTCACTTATAAAAATATCAGATAAAAAATCTGAGTGTTTTCTGTGTATATTATTTACAAATAATAATATCTAACTATATGTATCAGTGGTCTAGTAGCCGTAACACAACCTCTGCTTAGCTTGGGACTAGATGAAGCTGTGTGAATTGTCCAGGGTTATTATAAAAATATGTATAAATTTAAAAAAGTACACAGCTTTTTACATAAAAATCATGAATAAAATTATTTTAATTGTATAGGAATTAAACGTGCGACTAAATAATGAGATTAAATAAATTTAAAGATAAACTCTAACTAAATATTTCAGAGATAAGCCTGCCAGTGTGACGTAACTCGACAATATGATGTACAGGTAAGTTTATTCAGTGCATAGTTGCATAGTTTTTAAAGGTAATTCATTAATACTTATTCTATAAATAGCCACCGATACGTCCTGAGTCGTTGACTTTCATGATTCACGGTAACCCACGATGGCGTGGAATTATGTACTAGTGGAAACGTCCATCCTTTCTTTTTAGCCCCCGAAACAAAAAAACAACGGTGTTCTAAATAAATAAAAGAAAAAAAAAGTTTCACTTATCTATATGTCAGAGTCTCTCTGTGTTATTAGCCCTCATTTCTTTTTATTTCATTTTAGCCCTCGACGCAAAAGAAGACGCAGAAGAAGAATATATTGAAACTTATAATACCATTTTTCGTATTATAAGTTTCAATTTTCTTCCGTACATCTGTGTAAAAATATCTCAATCTTTTTGAGGTCTATGACTTTTTTTATTTATTTTATGCTTTTTTTCCGTGTCGGAAGTTACATAAAATTATTATTTTTTACTTATTTTTAATTTATCGCTTAGGTACAACTTATAAATGTTGTCTAAAAGATATCATTAATAATTACCTACTTTAATTCACTGGCTTTTATCTTTAATTTGTAATTTTTTAGTTAATACTTATTCTTTTCCTAGTAACTTCCCACCGGCAGAATAAGAATTTGAATTTGAATTAATAATGTCTAAGCTAAAAGAAATATTTTTTGAATAAATTGTTTTTTAGGTTTTTCCTTACAAACTAAAAATCATTAAAAAAATATCTTTCCTTTTTATAATACTCTACTATCGTACCCTAGATCGATAAATGGAGTAGCCATTTATATCCAAAAAGTCGAGAGTTCAAATCTGATCGACATCAGAGAAACACTTTGTGTGCCAATTTATTTTTCCGACACATTCTCCAGTTAGGCAAATATCGATGATAAAAAACCCAAAATTGGGTTATCCCTAACATCGATAACAAAAACACAAAAGCAAAAAAAAGTATTTTAATTTGGATAAAGAATCCTAGTAAAATGAGCTTCCAGACGGTTCTACCATAAAGATATCGGTGTTGGCACACTGCTAGTCTCTTGTCAGACATACGAGTCGTGGTGTAATTACTTTAACATACACACATAATGATTACTTCGCTATTTCGATGCACTCTAATTGGTTTCTTATACGACATACATACTAATTTATGAGATATTCAAGTATTGTTCGTCATTCGAGTTAAGACACAACTTGCATATCAATATTTCGTCTATGCGTACATTTATTAGCAAAAATGGACAGGACAAAGAAAAGAAGTTCCTAAACATAATCCTAATCGTCTGAATGAATTGGAAGAATGGACTAGAGAAAATAAAAAAAATACATAGCAATACTCAATCTATAATCAATACTAAATCACTGTTCTTTATAATATTAGTGTAGACTAAATAAAAACTCTTACAACTGCTTACTAAATAAGTGGGTATGAAAGAAAGAAAGTCCTGTCACACTGTCACTATTTGATATGACTTCATTTAAATTATAAAATAATATTTCATCATGCATCCAACCGTAATACTTTATTACTGGATTATCGGATATCTAACTAAGATCACAAAAGAAGAGATAAACATTGATCGAAGAGGCTATGCAATCTGCAGTTCATATGGATTTAAACTTATTGAAGCTAAATTTGGGAAAGAAACGCATCTGCTTTGTTTAAAGCTAAAAGCTATAGGTATACATTAATTAGTAGCTTTTTGTAATAATTAGTCGATTACGCACGAAAAAAAAAAATACCGGCAATCTTGAATGTACAAAGTCACATATGTAGAGTCACGTGGGGCAAGTGTGCGCAGCGGGTAAGTGTACGCACTCGAAGTATTTCAAAAACGGTTTATAGGTACGAACTGATAACACCCCTCCTCATTAGCGCACAAAAGGCTATACTTAGTGCAACTTTTTCACTGTCCGCCGGTGAACCATTTGTTTCTGTAAGTGAGTATTGTTTTTTGCTTGAAATATAGCGATTTTTGTCTTAAATGAGAGACTCATTCCTTTGTAATATATTTATATTTTGAAATCATGCTTTATACCATCGAACAGTACATTTTATGTAATATAAGCCGTGTTTAATCTTTTGGTGATGACGATTACGTAATATTGCTCAGTTCTGGTTAAATTTTATTTTGATGGTTTGGGGCAAGTGTGCGCATACGAATGTCGGGTAAGTGTGCGCATGCGAATACTTACCCCGCTCCGCTTTGGCTTTGTATTTATGATGCAATTTGTTATTTCAGAGTTTAATTATACATAAAAAATGCCTCGATTATAAAAGAAATGCCGGATAGAAGTGTTGTCACAGAGGAACAGCTAGAAGCTGTAAAAGATTAATTTCGGAGGTTGGTAGCAAACGACAGTGTGGCACCCGCAATAATGAGTGTACCTTCGTCTAGGAATGAATATGTACGACAGTCATCCATCCAAGAAATACCGAAGTTGGCCTTAGGCATTTCTTGGATGAATGACTGTGATTCAAAATCGGCGAAAGAAAGGCAAAAAGTCAATCATTGATACTGTAAGTCCTTATAAAGTAGAATTGGAAAAACAAAAAACAAGAGGAAGAATAAATTGCCAAAAAAGAAGATACGACTTGATCTGAAAATAAATAAAATGATGAGCAGGAATTATTTTGCCCACTGTGTGGAGAAAAATACATATTTCCACCGAATGAAGACTGGATCCAATACAGCATCTGTAAGAGCTGGTGGCATGAACAATGCAATAACTTTGAAAAGGAATTATATGAACTGATGTATTATTAGGTTGAGGATGTCTATTTTCTGGTTTATCATATGAGTCTGACTCTATTTACTGTATGTTACATGTTGCGTACACTTACCCGCACTACTGCGCACACTTACCCCTATACTTGGGTAAGTGTGCGCATTTAAACAGTTTTGATTTTGTTGATTTCCAAAGAATTTGTGTAAATGATAATTATTTATTTTGCATTTAAGTTGTTGATTATTAAATATTTTATATAATAAACCTTGTTTTGTTCCAGTTAACTTCAAATATTTTATTATATGATACTTCAAACCTTAAGTGCGCACACTTGCCCCACGTGACTCTACATATGTGACTATTTCACCTATTTCTTCCTTTAAACAACTTTTTGTTGATTGAATCGCGAAACGACTGTGAAATTATATAACATAACACTGTTTCTGTCCTTTCTCGACTAGGTTGCACTAGTCGTGGTCACAAGCTAACCTGAGAGAGTTAAATACCTTTATTTGCCATAAAATTATGCGTGTTAAACCCGTTTAACTATATTAATAATAATGTGTTCTAAACGCGAGTCCTCAGGAATAGCAACGCGAGTTGTTACTATGGCATCAAATAACCACGTAGCGGCTTTACGATTGTTTGTCTATATACTTATTTTGTCATTATTATTCCAATTATTATGTATAAAATAAAATAAATGTAATTTTATTTTCCAAAAAGTTTTCGTTTTGCTTTTTTTTTTGAGGATATAAAAGCTATGTATGTGAATTTTAGGCAGTAATGGCTGTGTATCTAATGACGGTAATTACTGTTGACCTTTCGCAAAAAAGTCATAAAATTATTTTAATCTCGCATATTTTACTCAAATAAAAGTTTCGTCTTTAAAGATACTAGTTTTCTTGTCAGTTCTTCTCAAGTGAAACTGTACCTTGAAGTAGACGGTAGGGAAAATTCAAAATGTATATATTGAATTTTCCCTACCTATTGGCTTACATACGTATAAGTAACCAAAATCACCTAAATAAAAACGATTCTTAGAATTTGACTTTTCGTAAAAAAAATTAATCGAATTTCAACGTATTGACAAAACAGCACTTATTCTAGGATCTTCCACATTGACCACGCACCGGACTGCTTTATTCCTAGACCCTGATCCCGAAGATGATATCACCACTTTCTCCCTCGCTGACGTCACTATGGCGTATGGATTTCCTATAGAAGATCCTTCAGCTGGCTCGGCCGAAGGTTATATTGGTGATGACCATCAGTTTTATGGGGTTCTTCATTTAGGTAAGTTATTTTTTTACATATCTGAAATACTAAACATATGGATAGTAAGTGGTAACTATCAATGTACGAGGAGAAAAACATCACGGTGTCATGTGATAGACGTGATACCTCGTGATACTCATTCATTGCCATTCCAGAGCATTAAGACATCATGAGTTTTATCCGGTAATTTCACTACCTGATCTGACCCTACAAACGAAACAAAGCAAGCTGCTTTGCGGCTGAAAGAGGTGAGACTGATGTACCCACGTAGACGACATTTTACAGTCGCTCTCTGATTAAATCATTTTTATTCTATCATTAAAAATAATTTGTTTTTTGGTGTGCGTACCTGTAGCCTAAATAAAGTTTGTGGTTGTCTGCGATTGACTGTAATACTCGTATGTATAAAATAAAAGAGCTAGTGGCTTTATAAAATTTAATTGCAATTTTTATCATTGAACAATATTATTAGTTCACTCTTTTAAGTTGTAAATATCATAATCAAAGAAGGAATGTGCATGTACTCTAAAGTAATAGGAAATATACTCATGGCCTTAATTCTGAATGGTATAGTCTGAATGCTCCTGATTTAATTGTTTACTAGGAACCCGATCACGCGTGTCTATGGCCCGGTAGTTCCAATACTGAAGTCAATAAAACAATTGTATCTCATAATTTACACCGGCGAGCCGAGAATATCTCGGAAAAATATTGTTATGCGAGATTTTTACATACATATCCAAATGTTTTAGTTATTAGTTTAGGGCGGATCAAGCTTCAGACTAGAGATATCTCTAGTTCTGCAAGTACTTTTTGATCTATGACGGATATTCACCATCACGCGGGCTGTGAGCACCAGCTATCATCCTCATCGTAATCAGCGCCTAAATAAACTTCCAGGCAATCGCACCCTGCACGCAGACCCATATGGTAAAGATGACCCGAATAAGTTCTTTGGCGCGTTTGAAAATGATAACATGGCGGCGCCGAGATCTCGACGTGATCATGCACAGGTGATCAGGTGAAGTTGTTTACTTAAAAACCGTATTAAATCTAGTAATAATAATCCAGAAGAATTCACTCAAATGCGTCTAGTAGCAAACTAAATTCAGTTTGATACTTAGACGGATAATATCGCCCGTGGATGTTGGAAGAATCGATCATGGAAGCATAGCACAAATGTATATTGATATTAATATGCACATCTATATATACACAGACAACGTCATGGACATGATGATATCATGCGATGACCATGAGGTATCATGGTCATCGCATGATACCTCATGGTCATCGCATGATATCTGACTGAGTGGTAACTCAGTCCTTGTCATTCCGGAGGACCACGATAGCATGCCTCCATATCCTATAACTTCACTGCTACAACCACCATTCAACCGAAACTCATCTTACAAAGCAAACTGTTTGGTGACTAAAATAGGCCAGACTGAGGTACCCACGCAGAGGATTTTTTACATAAGTCTACCTTGTTTGCTTTATAAGACACTAAACAGAGTCCCCTCCGATTGATCCCCCATCCAATTCAAACGGGGATCGAAATTACGACGGCCTGAGTCGAGGTTCGAACCCCTAGCGGTGCCCTCAGACTAAAGTCGTATCTGTCAGGCGGGAATTGGCCTTCAGCCACTCCATAAGTCCTTCCGCGGGTTTTGAGTGCCATCTGCACTCGCCCCTTATCGTCTGTTGAAGCTATAAAGGCCAGCTGCGGCCAACAGCATTAGAGTATTCCGAAAAAAACTAAATAGAGTATTATTTCTAGCTAGAATTCTTGGAGCGCCTACCTTATTTACCTTACCGAATAGAAGAACATAATAGGATGCCTGGCATTGCCCGTGCGAGAATATGTGACCTCCTACTCCTAGCTGACAAAGAATTCTTTGAGAAAGACGCCAACTCGAGTCTGAACCATGTAGTGCGTAGAATGATGCACGCGGTAGCCCAAGCAGATATTATTTTCAGGAATGCAGATTTTGATGAGGACGGCATGCCTGATAATATAGGTATCGATTTTTTACAATATGACTAAATTTGCAGTGTTGTTTTGTAGAGATTACTATTTTTGTCTTGTTTCTTAAATTGAACTGACTATCTTGCAGTTACAATACATATGTATTAATATAATAATAACTGCATAATAGTCAGCTGCTAATAGTCAATAACTCATCAAATTAGTTATTTTTAACTAGTTAATTTATAATTATTTTACCTTTAGGTTTTTCAGTGAAATATATCTTGGTACTGACATCTGATGAGACAAACGCTCGTGTATTTGGTAACCTGCTTAATGATCAAGCTATAGATGGCCGAAATTACCTGATGCAGTTTGCAAGACTTCGTCGCTTATCGGAAGTGTGTCTTGGAGTAGCCTTCTCTGGTCATGCTTTTCAAAATAGAACTCTCGGTCTAAGGTAGCAACATTGAATTTTTATTATAAATCATATAATAATAACTCAGGACATTCACCCGTGCCATGTAGTCCCTAGCTAAATAGAGCTTGTGTTATGGGTACTAAACAACTGATCACTAAATAATATATATTTTAAATACCATGAATTATTGTAATTGTTCTAAGTGTGTATGTATGTATATTTGTATATGAGTGTGTGTGTGCATATGTGTATGTATATGTATATGTGTAAAATGTACATTTGTCAAATATGTAAATGTAATAATGGTTGTCAATAAATATTTTTCTTTCTTACTTTCTTCTTCTTTCTATATGAAAACACTCAGACAATACAAACACTGGTATTCATAATATAAATGTTTCAACGTGCTGGAACCGCCAACCAACCTCAACCATGGTCGCTTAATATACTTTTTTATCCTTATTTCTTATCTGTGCGCACTAAATATTATTATTAAGTAGCTGCATCCGCGACTTCGTCCGCGTGATATTTAACTTTATTTTTCGGAAATAAAGTAGCCTAAGTTACTCCTTATTACATCAGCTACCTGCAAAAAAAAGTCCCGTCAAAATCGGTCCAGCCATTCCAGAGATTAGCCGGAACAGACAGACAAAAATTGAAAAAAAAAATATTTTGGTGTATGTACCGTGTTTGTATTCATACGCACGTAGTAAAAAACGGTTACTTCAATAATATAAACAGATACTCCAATTTTATTTATATGTATAGATAAAAACTTTTGAATATAATATTATTATTTTTGTAATAGATAAAGTTAAAGGTACTTAATACCGGATAGTCAGTTGGAAATATATATTGACACACAATATTTTTCTTATGCCAGCCAGATTTGAACTGACGATTTCTTTAGTGTAAGTTAATAGTGTTGGCAAACATTCAGTAATTTAACTCGTTGAATAGTTTCACGTCCTTGGGAGGCGGAATGGGTGGGGCAGCGGGTGGTCTCTGCGACCGACGTGCATTTGGTCGCTCCTTCAATACCCTGGCAATCGCCCACGCTACCACTGAGGACAAGGAACGTGTACCCGAGAGGATAGCGGCTTTGACTCTCGCACATGAAATGGGTGTGTTCATATTTTTAAAAAACAATCAATTGTATTTTTTGAATACTTGGAATGACAGGTGTCGGCCCTTTTTGGTAGCCGTCGTCCTTTTTGGTAGGATTATTAGTACTATGGGCATCACGTTATCATGTGACATCCGTGATACCACTAATATAATAACTATACATACATTACGAATTTACGACATTCCACAAAGCGCTGCCATTCCAGACTGACTAAGAAAGAAATATCATGCCTCTTATCCTGTAATTTCACTGCTTATCTCAGTCTTTAACTGAAACACAGCTTACTATGCACACTATGAAATATATTGTTAATTTTGGATGAAGATTACTCGTTTCGTAGCTGTTCATGCCTTCAGCTTTATGATTTGAAACCTATCTAAGTAATCTCTATAAAATTCTCTTGTCACAATGTTTCTTACCGTACTCCTCCGAAACTACACATACATATTTTTATGAAATTTCATATGCATATTCAGTAGATCTGAGAATCGGCTATTTTCCTTATCCCTAAGTGATGGTGTCCACCCTAACATTTTTTTTAATTTTTTGGACCATTTTTTTATTTTTATAATGTATGTATTAAAACCTAAATATTCACTCTTTTGTGACCAATCCCTATTTTTAATAGCGATTTTAATTTATATGGCAAAACAACGTTCGCGGGGTCAGCTAGTATTACTATAGATATTAAAAATCTGCGCTTACCTTCAGGGCACAGCTTCGGTGCTCACCACGACGATAACTTCCCGAACCCTGAATGCCGCGGTTACCTCATGGGTTCGCAGTCCTCCACACCAGACACGGGCAAGAACTTTGAGTTCTCACTGTGCAGCAAACGGTTGATAGCTGCCACTCTTAGCAGCATGAGTTATTGTCTCTCGGAAGAAGATAGGCCTTATTGCGGAAATGGTAAAGTATCTACAGTGACCTGGTGACCGAAACTGTAACTAATACCACCATTTTGAAATGTTATTTTGATGTTAAGTCTATTGTTGTGCATTATGCAACAACAGCGACGCTGTCACCGGCACCCATTGGATCAATTCTAACGGCGATCGAAATGAATAGCTCTAAGAACCGAAGTTCAAACCTCTAGCGGTGTGGTCAGACTACAGTCGTATCTGTCAGGCCGGAGTTGGTCTCCAGCCGCTCCATAAGTGCTACCGCGTGTTTTGAGTACCTCGCTTGAATACTCGCACCCTATCGTCCGGTGAAGTTGTAAAGGCATTAGTGTAGTCCGAAAAAAAAAGCTATTACCGGCTCAGATAACTTTGTGAAACTGTATGAGAATTTTATTAAAAAAGATATATTTTTTATATTTTAAAGATATATTTTTTATTTTATTGCAATTCCAAACATAATGTCTAATATATTAGGACTTAACTGCGTTGGTTTCCTGAGCGGACCGCGTGGGGATAGAGCTGTCAAGTCTACTATATGACTTGCCTCATATGACTTGCAATGGGGCCTCTAATTCCCACATTACTAAAATCCTCTCCCCTTTTATATAGGTATAGTGGAGGAGGGTGAGGCGTGTGATTGCGGTCTACCATCACGCTGCAGCCAAAAAGATCCGTGTTGTACACCACGAGCAGGCGGGGCTCTTGTGTTCGAAGAAGGGTATACATTACTTTTTAAATAGTAAACAAAGGTATACTGTAAAAAGTTAGATTTTTAGTCTCACCTATATCACCTATATTAGTCATCAGTAAGTTGTTTTTACGAAGCATAACAGCTTTGTCTTCTAGAATGGCAAGGCATGAGGGGTGTCACGGTATGTCTATGAAATATTTTTTAAATCGGCAAGTAATTTTGAGCTTACAGCACACAAATATACAAGTAATTAAATGTAAATACCTCTGGTGGTAAAGGATAAGAGACATGGCACCTGAGTCTTCTGGAATGGCGACTGGCGGCGTATGCGTGGTACCACGGGTGGCACATGATTATATGATATTCGGAGAGTCGTTTAGGCGACGGTTACCGATTACCATCATCAAGCAGATAACCTGGTGTTCGCCATTCCAATTACATACAAAAACATTACATTATAGGGGTAAGCTACCTCGAGGGAAATCAGTGTTTAATATAGACTAGCATTCAATCAGATGACATTTCATAAATTTTACACCAATCATGATAATATAATAAATACACAAACATTTCATAATAGTCACTGTTTTACAGCACATTACACAAGGAGGGTTGCTCTGTGGCCCCGACTGCTATGTGTCATCCCTCCCAGGGGCTGTGTTGTAACACAAATTGTCAGTATGCGGACTATACCAGTAGCGGAATTGTAAGTGTTACCACATATAAAATAATAGTACATAGTTCTTATTATTATAATAATAACATACATAATTCTTCTGTCTAAACCAGTGATTTCCAAAGTGGTCTATATCGACCCCTAGGGGTCTATAACAAACTGCAAGGAGTCTACGACACTAGTCATCTGCTTTTTACTCTTTTTTGACACTAAACTTTACTACAGTTAGAAATTTACAAAAATTCGATACAAGGTAAGAATGGGGGGTCTACCCAAAACCGAAAATTAAAAGTTTGGAAACCTCTAGTCTAAACTAATCACTCTAGAGGAAGGGGATTGGTTGTAATAAGTACTTCTATTAATGATAATAATCCAGGACACTTAAAAAAACGTATTTAGTATTCTATCAGTTTTAGTTTAGTCTAGTTGGCTAATAGCAATAACACAAGTTCTAAATAGCTTGCAACTATGTAATGACGCTGTGTGAAGTGTCCTAGATTAAAAAAATACGTAATAAATGCGAAAAGTGTATCTGTCTGTTCATTATCTTTTCACGACTAAACGACTGATGATCATAAGTTATTGGTGAAGGTATAGGTATTGTATCTTTTATTATCCATAATTAATAATGTCCCAACAATTCACACGATGCCATCTAGTGGCAAGGTAAGCGGAACTTGTGTTTAGGTACTAGACTACTGGTATAAATACATACTTTTTGTAAATACATACATAATATAGGTACATTGAAAACACCCAGACCGATACAAACAATTATACGCATGAATACAAATATTTAAAGTAACGAAGTAATAAAGCGGTGTACTAAACGGCTACACTACCGAGACCACCCAGACCGTCAAATTAAATAATATAAAACAAATTAACGTAAATATTCTTTGATAGGACTGTAAGAGTCAAGATATGGAATGCACGTGTGTGAACACAACGGACTGCCGATGTGGTTTAGGTGGTCGATGCTTGGCTGACGGCAGTTGCCACGCGGCTGAATGCGCCACCCTCGGACTGAAGGAGTGCCAATGTGGTATCAGCTCCAGGAAAACCGTAAGTTATCATTACCCTGTATCGATATTCTTCGATATGTAATGATTTTCATATTGTTTTTACAAAACCCCAAACTTAAGAACTAAAAACTTATGTCCGAATCGAAATCCGGCACTGATTTCCAAAAAACTAGCTGTCCTGCGCAACTTCATATTGAGCGTCGTGGTTTCTCACTTTTTGTAACATTTTTCTTACTTGCGCCGCACCTATTAGTTGTTGGTGTTAATACTAATAGACTTTCTCGATAAATGAGCTATCCAACGCTAAAATAATTTAAAAAAATACTTTAGTGTTGGATATTAGTTTTAAGCATACAACCTACTATTAGGAAGTTTCATAAATGATACGTCGATGCAGCAATATGCATTTGATTTTTATTTCTCTTTCATTTTTTTTTTTACTTTCGACTACTTTAATGCTGTTGGCCGCAGCTGACCTTTACAGCTTCATCGAATGATAGGAGCAAGTGCAGATGGTACTCCAAACCCGCGGAAGGATTATAGAGCGGCAGAAAGTCAACTCGCGCCTGACGGATACGACTTTAGTCTAAGGGCACTGCTAGGGGATCGAACCTGGGCTCAGGCCGTCATAATTTCGATCCCCGTTTAAATTGGACGTGGGAGCGATCGGAGGGAAGGTCGCACCCTTTCTCCTTCTCTGGACTAATTGGGGCGCCACCAATAATTCGTGACATTACAAATTTGACAAATAATTATTCTAATTTTATATACTGAAGCTAACACTACAACCTCATAAACTTTACCTCTCCCTAATATCAGTATATGTAGATAATTAAAATTTAAGCTATTGCCTGTAATAGGGGGATACATTAAGCAAAGCGCACACGTGTGGTATATGTTGTGAGCTGAACAAAACGACAACTAGACACGGCGAAGGACATTGCATCGGCGCTGAGTTGGCAGCCATGGAGGTGCTCACTAATACCTCGCGACTACCAGAGAATTGGCCGGATCTGGATCATGGAGGTCGTAAGTGTTAATGTATTTATGGCAAAACAACCTGAGTAAAAATAGAGAATCCTTGTAGCATTTCTTTCTCCCCCGAAATAGGATAGAATTGTTACAACTTTACCCATTGGCTTAGTGTTTTATGCTAACTTATCTAACTTTATGCTCATCCTGTAATCCTTCACTGGTGCCCCTCTAGCTTATAACCTTGTAAAAATTTCTTTCTCCCTCGAAATAGGTTAGAGTTGTGCTACATCTCCACACATTGGCTTACTGTTTTGTTATAACGTAGGGGGAAAACCAATTCATATTCTTTAAAAAAATCTTGTGACACTGATTCTCTAATTATAATGACATTTTTTATAGCAAATGTAACCGTGCGCCTATGCAAGGGGAACCAGTGTTACCTGGCGTTGACCCGCGCATGGCCATCAGGCGGGCCGTGTGTGACCCGCAACGTGGTGGGGATATGTTCACCGCGTGGTATATGCAAGCGCGATTACATAACGCCGCGGTCTAACATCTACCCCGATATTATGGTATTTTTTTATATGTAACTAATTTTCTTTCTTTCCTGTAATGAGCCAAGATGTTGTACTGGTGACTGTAGTGGCCAGCCGAGGCCAACAGCATTAGAGAAAAAGAAAAAAAAGAAGGGCGTTTATAATTTTAGGGCGAAATAATGATTTATTTTACAAAATTCTTTCAAAATGGACTTAGGTAATTTTTTATATCCAGTAGATAGGTAATACAGGAAAGTAAATTGTTCTTAAAAAGCCCCGTGCAGTAATGTCTAAACTAAGCCAAATCTGTATCTCAAACACCATCTGTGGTACTTCTCTATAAAACTACTAAATATTACCACATTGAACAAATAGTTGTTTGGTAAAGGTTTGTTAATTTTTGTTCCACTTATAAATTATTATATATTATATTTATATATAATAATATTTATTTTCAGAACGTGAAGTTACTTAGTGAAAGAAAAAACTCGGGTACAAGATTAAGTATGACAATAAAGTCTATTACAATATTTATGATGTTAAAATGAATACAAATTATATAAAAGTAAAAATAATTTATTATTAAAAAATGCCTAAATTTAATAATTACCACATAATTTTTCTAACATTTTATAATAACAATATTTTATATCATATTCCATATCATACCAGTAGTTAACTGCTATGCACCCGTGGCTTTGTCTTACGTGGTGAAACCATAGACTAGGCAGGTATAGACAATCCCCTTTATTAAGACGTACTTTGAATATATTCGCCTGCTTGAATTGTGGAAATTTTGTGTAGTCTGGTTTAAGAGGATCTGTAAAATATTAAACATGTTTTAAATGTATCCTTTTTTTAAATGTGTCACATTACAATATTTAGTTTCTTACAGAATAAAAGATATTTGCAAGAACATTTTTAATCTTATAAATAACATAGCAAGGTTTTTATAAATTATTTTACTTATCTATGTATAGGCTTACGGCCTCCTAGTACAAAGACCACTTGGCTTGATGCTGTGCAGCTCCTTTTTCAATGGATTAATATGTAATAGTGGGATAGCAGTATTTTTTCCGGGGCATTAGTAGGCATGTGTAAAGAATGATAGGTGAAGTCAGGTCAATATAGGGAATGAGAGATTATCCACTATACCAGATTCCAGGGGTGACCAGGTGGCGATTGACCAGATACGGTAACATCCTTGCAATGGGGTCATAATCCATTACTAACAAACAATCTCCTTCCCTGTGCTATGTGAATTTTACAGGGTTATTTCTTATTATTTTAAATATTTACTCACCTATACAAATCCAAGGTAATTTTGTATCATCACATTTGTCTCCCTCTGTCCGATCTGTATTTATAGAATTACCATTAGATGTCAAATTTATAGGCACAATATCCCATTTTCCACCATCATGTTTGAACTCGGCCTGAGGGTATCGTTTGTATGGGACATAAGGCAAATCCGTGGGAGGTATTAGTATGAAATCTTTGTATCCATCGATAACACAGTATATGTTCTCATATGGGTCTTTGTGCACTGTAAAAATAAAATATTATAGACATAAAATTGTTTATATTTTTCGTGTTTATAAAATATGAGTCCATGAGATGTAGAGCAGTTAGAATCAAAGTCACAATTACCTAGTATTACTTATATTCATTCATATAGAAAGAACATTTCAGCAATATATGCAAAATATAATTTCTTACCCTAATCCTACTGTCCTAGTTTAGCTACTTTACTTGAGGAAGAACTGGCAAGAAATTCAACTGGTACATTATTTTATGTTACCTTTTTTTATTCAGTTCAGTCATAGTTTGAGGTAGATTTTGTAGAAAGTCTGATTAAGTACCTCTGATTCACCTGTTTCTGATGTCTATAGTTTTCTTTATATCTAACTATAGGTAATATATAACATTGCTATTTTCATCAAGTGGGTCTTCAGTTTGTTTCATTAATTAAAAAAGTAATAAAATTATTAGTATATACTAACTAGAAGTGACAGCTCTTTCATCTCCCATCCAAAAATTTATGGCATCTGGATTTTTGTTAAATGCCTCACTGGCAAAATGTATGTCTGTATCTACATCAGATATAAGCTCCTTAAAATCCTCTGTCAGGTTGGAATTCTGGCGTTGAATGTATGTTATATAGTTGTCACTGTAATTTTAAAAAAATTACAACTTTTTTGAAATATTAAATATACATTTTTTGTGAAAATTATTAAAAATAATCTGAATCAAATTCATACCAAACGTTTTAGAAATCTAATTGTAACTCTGAACACAGTAAGAGGGGTGTTATAATTTGTATGTGTATGTCTATGCCATTGTAACTCCTAAATAAATATACTGATTATGCTGGAGATTTTTGTTTCAAAGCTCATTAGATTGAAATGGTACAATTTATTAGGGATTTTTTTATTCAGGATTTTTTTAATATTATTCATTATATAATAATAGATATTGGACTATTTCATGTGTCTACCCAAACAACCCCTTATCCCTAACCAGGGTGATTAATGTACAAAACAAAACATAAAATAGACTTGCATTTCAACATATTTTTTATTAACTCTGTATCCAAGATTACTTTCAATGGCTAAGCAGCTTACTTACCCTTTGGACTCTAAGCTATCCAGAAACTCTGTCATTGTCATTTCAACTTCACATGGCGTTACAAAGTATTCTACACCCGTCTCATTACTGGTGACACCATCTGCCAAACCATTAGGTGTTACTGCAACTGATATTTTCTTGTCTGAAATAGTCTGTCTATAAATGTTAATATTTTAAATGTTTGTTTCAGTTGATAACAACAGTATCATCTCTCTGTTTAATATATAACCCTTCATATTCAATATTTTATTTAGAACTGCAGTAAGTTCCATACCAGAATGTGTATCTAGAACTGCACTAGCTGAATATGACCAGATTTGACTGGGAGGAAAAAAACCAAGTGGTGAAGGTGAGGCCTAGGCTTTTTGTGAGGCTCCTGGACAGAGAATCCAACTAATTCTTTGAAATTTGTCTCTCAATGTAATGGCAAAAAACCTGACATCAGTCCTAATGATAAGTGGTAACCAACATCATAATATGTGAAGCCAGCAAACACACTCATGCATTGCCATTCTGGAGGACTAAGTATCTAGTATATATAATAGTTATTTTGTCGTAAGTGACGCAAATACTCCACTAAACCAAATGTCTGTTGACATATCACATATAGCCATTTGTTTTCATGTATTTGGTTTAAATACTAATATGTGGAACTAAATGACTCATTGAACCCCTATGCTAGTATTGATTTATCTTTGTGTACATAATGAAAAATGAAATATATCTAAGTTTAGTGTTAAATTAATTAGTCCCTTACTAATTAACTCCCTTTCAACAATATATACTATATTTTCTGTGCCACTGTAGTTTTGTAGGGATTATATCATAAGGATAAATGTAACATTGGATTGTATAATAAATAAATAAAATAAATTTATAATTTTCAGTACCTAAAATACTGAGCATTCCATTTCGAAACAGCATCCCAAGTTGCGCATCCCCTTCTTATTACCACTGGAATATTTTTGGATACATAATCCCTATAGAAATCTAGAGAATCCAGAATACATGTCTCGGCTATCTTTCTTCCGAGATACAGTTCTGAAAAAGTGAAAATTTTAGATCGTGACTCTTCCATCCATAGGGTTCGTATATCTCCTGGTTTGGTTATATATGTTTGCCACTCAAAGAGTTTTCTTGTGATAGACAAGAATAGTTAAAAAAATTTGGACAGTTCCCCAAGATAAATTTGAAATTATAAAATTGTTATTATACCTGATGACTCCGTGTTTAATACTTTAAAAGCTTCAGCTATTACTTCACACATAATTATATCAAAATAAAGGCAACAATTTTGTATACAATATTTTTTATATTTAGTAAACAAACATTTGGTAATTTAATAACCTCTTCAAATCAACACCTATCCTCTCAATAGTTTAAGGAGGTATTACATTTTCAAATACATGAATTGAAAATTAAATTTATTTAATCACAAATTTATGAATATATAATTATAGCAGATGTTGACTAAAATGTTTTTAATTATTATTATTTAAAATACATTTTTAGGCATTAAATAATAATAATTAAATGTCAAAATAGTAGATTTGATGAAGTAATACACACGTTAAATTAGGTTTCATTACATGATAGGTCTTCGGTACAAGTTGTTAACAACTCATGTTCATTATTAAACTGTCTTTGTAAATATGTCAAGAAAATGAGATTTTTGTGTTTTTTTTAAGTTGTGTCAAGTTCTGAAACTTCGAAGCAAATAACACCTCACACTTAATAAGTGTTAACAGTCTTATTTGCCTTCGAAATTTACTTAGCAATAGTTTTCAATACTAGTAATTGCTATAAAGATATGCTAGGCGCTTGTCAATTTATTACCCGAGTCAAACTGCCAATATTATTTTTTATTATCCTTAAATACTCGATTCTCCGACTCCTTTTATTGTATTAGTTTTAAAGTTCTCGTTACTCAATCACATTTAACTTGTTGAACGAATGTAAATAAATTTTGGCGTCCAAATTGCCATGTTAAATTAACTGTTGATTTTAAGTTGCACTGAAAAACCGCGAATGTTCGTGTATAAAATAAATATCGCTAAAAGTAAATTTTATTACTAATTAATTTCAATAACACGACAGAGATTCACGAAATAAAATACAATTCTATTATTATATAAGCATAAATAAGTTATTACGATAAATATTTTATTGGCATTGGTTTCTTCAGTATCCCTTTAATTGGAACGTCAGTTGTTTCAATCACAGGTTGTTTGATAGGTGGTGGGGGTTCCAATGGAGTTGCAGTGATCTCGTGAGGCGATGGTGCTGGTTTGGAGCGCCAAAAAGCACGTGGAATAAACGTATACGTGGAATCGACTGCTGTTACTGTAACAATTTCTTATTGTTAAGTTGTATTACACTATACTGCAATATAGGGTTAGGTAAAGAGTCTAATTTGTCGTGTGACCAACTTATTACAATAAGTTCAAAAATTATATTCTCATGTTCAAATAAAAGTGACTCAGTTTCATGAATTATAATTATTAACTGCGTTATCAAAATATCCATGTTATAATTTCAGTACAATAACACCAATAAACTTTTTTTTTATAAACTATTCTAATGTGTTTCTCCGCAGTTGGTCTTTGCAGATTCTTCGAATAGAATGCGGGGTGTGTGCAGATGTTACTTAAAATCCACGAAAGAACTTATATTAACCCCTGCTTGATGACTGCGATTTCAGTCTAGGGCACCGTTAAGGATTTGAACCTGTCATAATTTGGATCCCAATTAGATTGAGATATGGAATCGATCACAGGGGTAAATGACGTGATAGGCAAGCATACGATAACTGTTTTGTTTCTTACCTTTAGGTTTTTGGTTACTACACTCTGTTATAGAAAGAGCACTTTGGGTTCTAGGTCCAGGCAGCATATTGAGTTCGAGGAAATCATCAAGTCCTTGCTTATTCATATCCAATTTATTATTTTCGTTGAGTTGTCGCAATCTCACAGCTTTAACGAAACTTTGTAGAAATGTTTTTGATGTACTATGGATAACTACAGAGTCTAAAACGCCTGCAAAATGAATTCAAGTATAGTAAATAATTATGATATCTCTAACAAGATAAATATTGTTTTTCTTGTTAAAACGAGTGGTAGACATTGTAAAAATATTACTAATAATTCTCAGCTATAACAGATTTTATTTTAATCTGTTGATTTACTTGCGATATTCTATAAACCCTAATTATGGTATTTAGCAAGTTTTTTACAAGTTACAGTTACAGTCCGTGATTATAATTGTAACGTCCATACATAAATGCATTTTACAGTAAAAGATTTACATACAATCAAGCATCTAAGGATTAATTACATGTATATATAGGTACTCATCAGATACTTACGAAGTTGAGAACATCTAGCAATAATAGTTTCTTTATAGCGATGTTTCTTAGTCATTGGGTTCCCAATGAAGTTCAAGTCAACCAGAGAGGTTAATGAACATAAGTCATCAGCCACATTCTATAAGTAATAGATAAAATGAATTGCATTTATATAAAAAATATAAAGCTATATTAATATTATTAAAAGAAAGGGAAATATTTCTCTTTTTCTTCTTGTTTATTTGATTGCATCGATTAGACTCCAAAAATACTGGACCGATTTGAAAATTTCTTATACCATTAAAATTATACCATGAAAATTATAGAACATAAAATAGAAATCCTACATTATCCCTGATGATCATAGGTGATAGAATATCTTCAAAGGCTTTTAGGGATCCCTATGAAAACTTTTGAAATAATGAGAATAAGGCATTGGATGCGAGCAGCGCAGGACCGATCGTCGTGGAGATCTTTGGGGGAGGCCTATGTCCAGCAGTGGACGTCTTCCGGGCTGCGATGATGATGATGATGAATGAGAATAAAGCAAAGAGGTACTGCAGTTTTATGAAGGACATCAATATCGAAGTATGTGTGAGTTAAAATCTATACTTTTTGAAATTTATTCTAAATACTGGTGCCAGGGCAGGGCACTACTTAAATTATAAATGATGGTTTATGATATTGGATACCTGAAAATGTTCCAAATTGTTCTTTTTAGCTATGAGGACTTCTAATCTACGAAGCGGTTTCGCCCAAGTCATATCCGTAATTTTATTTTCAGATACGTTTAAAATTCGAAGTGATGGCTGAAATTATTAAGCATGTATAACGATTACTGTATTTACGTCATTTCATTAGTTATATAAGACTATTTGGTTGAATAAAAATAAGTCTCGTGGAATTCAAATATATATATCAAGTGAATGAAGTCTGCGGGGTAAAAGGTGGTTTACCTCGCGCGACGTAACAAAAATTAATTAATTATAACACTTTATTGCACTAACATATAAAGGACATGAACAAAATTAAAAACAAAAAAAAAACTAAGTACAAAAGGCGGTCTTATCGCTAATGCAATCTCTTACAGACAACCTTTGGAAAGAGAGTATTTACAAAAAAATAGAGTAGGTGGCGCATTAGTGGAAACATAAAAATTATATACACTTATGTAAACAAAATATAGTACATACACAAATTTACATACATATGAATACATAATAATATAGTATACATCAAATAATTATACATAATCAAATATTATACACTTATTATAATAATATAAATAATAATTAATGCACTTATTCTTAGTTTTACAGAGGGGGGTTGTTAATAATGGAGACTATTTGCCCCATCATTATGTACCATATCAGGCCGACTTCCATTCGCTCCAGGAATTAACTACAGCGGTTTCTAGGGAGAGACTATTGTAGTTAATTCCTGGCGAATACGCGACTATGGTCGGACCTGACTTCATGTTCATTTTAAAAATCCTCCACGACAGACCCAGCATTGCGTTACCGCAATCGAAAGCATTAAAAAAATTGAGTTGAATATTTGTGCTTAATTTCATATGATCTAAGAATATCAACTTGTTTACAACCTACTTACCCCAAGAGACATGATAGTTTTCGGGTCAAAACACAAGCCATCCGGGCTATATATATCCTGTTTTTCAATATGTAATTCTTCTAAATACCTGTTGCCTTCTAAATTTTCCACAACACTAATCCGATTATTACCCAAATACAATTTTTTTAAGTTATACAGTTTCTCTAGGCCTTCAACTTTCTCTATCTTATTCCATTGCAAATGTAAATGAGTCAATTTATATAGTAAATCCAGATTTTCTATTTTCATAATATGATTGTTGTGATAGTAAGCGTATATAACATTATTCCCATTTTTTGGTTTAGACTAAAACATAATAAATATTTACTGCATATAGTAACAAATTGCATATATTAAAAAAAAATGTTTTGAAGAAAATGCTAAGAATATCTTCAGATGCCCTTTACGGAATATAAAATACAAATAGGTGTATAAAACTATACCTAAAATATAATTTTAAATATTAGCTGTTTCACATGACTATGTTTGCATTTTTGCGCTTTATGATATGTCTGTCTGTCTGTCTGATATATCTAAAATCAGTTCTGCTGTTTGACTCATTTCTGCATTATAATATGTATATCACTTATGGTAATGTATGAGTGTATAAAAAAAAATATTTACGATTTCAGTTAAACATTTCTCATGCATAAAAAGGTGTGTTGGTTTTTTGAACGAATTCTTCAGTTTATTTCTTACGATTCTTCTTGCTTGTTTTCGTAAGCTGTCTTCATTTTCCAATTGAATTAAATTACTTTCCATAATTTGTCTAAACAAACTTCGAAAACTACATGTACATGGATAAATTTATTGATTAAACAATATTTTGAAAATAGCGCCTAGCAAAAAGTTTTGTTGCACTAATAGAAAATTAAAGAATAAAATTAAATTTTAACTTACAATAATGTAGTAACTAATATTATTGTAATATCAAATTCATAATGAAAATGCACAATTCATTAAAAATTTTTAATCGCTAACTATGAATATAAATATATATTAATATAATTTATAAATGTTTGGTAGGTTTCAAATATTGTCTGTAGTTACCCTACACCCAAGTAATCTGTGAGCTGTCACGTCATGAATGCATCACATCTGTCATAGCACAGAGCATATAGTGTAACAACAAATATAATTTTGTTTGTATTTCTATAAAATTATACAAAAAGGATATAATTTGCTGTTATTATATATAGACACAGAACGGTACTAATAATGTAAATTATATATTGTTTAAATTTTTTATTTAGTGATTGTAATAGCAGATTTGTAACCTAACATTTGTTTTTAGCAAAATGGGCGAGAGATATAACATTCACAGTCAGCTAGAACATTTACAAAGTAAATACATTGGTACAGGACATGCCGACACTACAAAATACGAATGGCTAATGAATCAACATCGTGATTCGTGTTGCAGTTACATGGGGCATCCAGACTTGTTGAGTTATTTCGCAATTGTAGAAAACGAATCTAAAGCACGTGTTAAGTTTAATTTGATGGAGAGAATGCTACAACCGTGCGGGCCACCACCAGAGAAACCTGAAGACTGAACTTCCTTATAATAATTGCAACCATTAAAAATTAAGTTGTAGAATGCTTAAATATAATAAATTTATTTTATAAGTCATGTATTTTTTTTTTAATAGCAGTGCTGTTTATTGTCCTTTTTTGGGAATATATGTTCAGTCAGTAAATCAACAGTTGTGTTGCAATGACGATCCTTGTGATCTAGCAGTTTCACATCCACTTTTTACTTGTTTAGTGTTTCGAGTCTTTTATTCTAAACATGTATAAAGAAAAGAAATTGTTTTTGTCTGGGTGTTTTCTATGTATGTTATGTATTCACAAAATAAAATGCAAGTAATTGTATAAGTTGTTTACCACCTATAACACAAGCTCTGTTTAATTTTGAACCTATTGATGCTGTGTGGATTGTCCTTGGTTATCATTATTAATCAAACTGAAAAGTATTTCAGTTACAAGAATAATAAATCCTAATATTTTTAATATTTTTTATTGTTACATCACTAAATGTGAACAATATTACTGAGATTGTCTTTTTTAAGATCTTTATTAATATAAGATTAAAAAATAAAATATTTTGTTATTTAGAAGACTCTGTGAAACTTGTATTAATAATTAGTGTTAATAAAATACTTTTTTAAAGAAGTAGTTTCAGCATGTAATTTACAAATAGCTTAAACTGATGTAATTTAGAATAGTCATTCTGTCTACCAATCATTTTGAATATAGTTTCAGTCAAGAAGAGTGGTCAAGATACTCGAATGAGTATCACATAATCACATAATTTTTACATTCGTTTAAATGAATATTTAAATGAATGTAAAAATTTACATTTATAACTAAAAAAAATTTAGTAAGAACAATCTACCACATAGCACAAAAATTCATTACAGTAAAAATATTAAATATGTAGTTGGTATCATAACAAAATAATAATTAATTACTGCAATAAAAAGCAAAAATGCAAAAACCAGTAATTATTTGTATATTAAATTAGCCTTCAAGTACAATCAGATGTTTAAAACAACATTTACAGAAAATATATACAAAATTATCAACCACCATTTAATAGTGTTTTCCATACTTCTATTTTAGCATTTAATATTTTTTCCCTTTCTTTAGATTCCTCTTCAAGTATCTTCATTCGTTCAATACCTTGCACAACGTTTTTAACAAGCACTTTTTGTATATTTGGCACAAGTTTTTTACACTCATTTTCTAATAAATCCATTGCTTGATTAACACTATCAATATCCATAGATCCTACTTGGGTAAAATCTGATACTTGTTTAAGTCCTGATAATACTGACATGGTTATGACACCATGGTTTATATTGTCATCTGGGCATGTGGTTGCTATATATTCCTCGGCTTCTGTGGGATCTACCAACATTTTATCACCAACAATTGCTACTGAACTTGATGTAATGATGTCATACATGGGCACGGCTGCATTGGCTAATGCTAAACCTGCTGCATTTATGGATGCTGCTAAACATGAACCATCTAGTTCTAGTATGTATACAAAGACGTCAATCTGGAACAAATGATTGTACATATACAATGTAGTAATTGGTTTGAAACAGTTGTAAAAAGTATATATATTATTTGTTTGTTGTTATTATTATTTATTTGTTGTAATATTTTGTTTTTATTAAATAGATTTGGCAAGCAAGTGATACCACCTGGTGCTGTGCTGAAACCATTGCCTATATGTACAAAGAGTATTAACCTATATCCAAGATATTAGCCCTCCATGCACTTTAATTTCACTGCCATATCATTAACCTAAATCTAAACACAGCTTACAAAGAAACTGATTTGCGACTGTCTGAAATGAGTGAGATAGAAGTACAACCTATACAAATTTGTAAAATAAATCAATTTAGGGTAAAAATGATTGTTTTTTTATTGTAAATAATTTATTACATCTGTGTCCAGGAGATTGAATGTTAGAAAATATAATAGATGCAATAAATTGTGAGACCTATCTAGGCTGAGGGCAATGAGGATTAATAATTGCTTGACCATTTAACTACAAAATGCCATTAGGTGTATCTAATCAAAGATCACCTGCATCCATAGAAAGCTTTGATTGCCTACTTGGGACATTCAATCTATCATGAGCTTGTTTGCTTGTAACTATAACATAATCCTTACTAATATTATAAATTTGAAAGTAACTCTGTCTGTTTGTCTGTCTGCCTGTCTGTCTCGCTTTCACACCAAAACTACTGAACTGATTTAAATTAAATTTGATACATAGTTTCGCATTTTTAATACGCGAAAAGTGTTATAAGGGGTTGAAAGGTTGTATGGAAGTATCATTACTTTTAAAGCTAGATGATTGAAATTTATTTTTAGGCTGTTAATAAAATATGATAAAATATGACATTCATAGTTTGTAAAATGATATACAGGATGGAAGTTTGTATGGAAAATTGTACTTTTTGAAGCTAGAAGATAAAACTTTTTCTTTTGATCAAGTTCACAACATAACACAGATGAAGTTGCAGGCACAACTAGCAAAAATATAATTTACCTGATAGTTTGGGAACAAATGTCTGCATACAGTGGGCTCCAGTGCTTGTCTTAATGATACAGAGAGTGCCCTTTCTTCCGCATCGGGCGCATGCGGTCGCCGTTTTCGAGGACATGAAAATGGCGCAAATTTCACTTCACAGTACAGCTGACCAAGTTGACTGTTAATGGAAGAAAAAAGTAAGAATTTGCAACAGCTATTGTAGAAGAAAAAATGAAGAGATATTAAAATCTCTAATTTTATTATAGCTATATAAATCTATAATTTTATTATAGTAATGATAACTTTGGACAATTCACACATCACTACTTTGACCAGGTTAAAGAAATTGAGTTATGGGTACCTACTAAAAAACTAATAGAAATACTGAAAAATTTTCTTTTTTCATATTTAAAAAATAATATTACATAATACTACATATATACAAAATATTAATTGGAAACATCCAAATCATTCAAAGTATAATATTTCCTATGCGAGGAATACCCCCCAACCATCGGAAGGAAGGTGATGTGCTATACTTTTAAACCACTGAGGCACTGAGTCTAATGACAATATGTAAGAGAAAGAGAATATACATGTTGATACAAAGACAATATATTTATAAAAAACTAATGTTTTATATTTTGATTATAATGGATAAACTGTACCATCTATAGGAATTGCACCTGTAAAAGGCCTGGGTCCATTAATAAATATGAAACAAACCTGAACTCGTTTTGATGTGGTATCTCTCGTGGATCAAATACAGAGCATACAACTTTGGTTTTCTTCAGTTCAACATATGAAGAACCCTTAGCTTGCGACACCATATCAGTTCTGGCATCTGTTGCAAAAGTTTATAGTTTAAGTTTATTATAAATATTAATATTCTATTGAATAAAAATAACCAGTTAATTTTTCACAGCACCAACTGAATACCTAAGTCTAAGCTAATGCTTGTAATATAGGTACCTACTAACTGACAGAAACAAATAAATATATTTTTGTACAAATACATACATAATATACATTGATAACACCAATACTTATAAATACAAATGTTTATATCGTGTGAGAATCGAAAACATACACAAACTCCTCGATTCATTTTGAGCACGTCCGTCCTGTCTCTGTCCTTCGTCATTTAGTAAACAATCATGAAGCTCCTGATAAGTCTTCAAATAGTCCTTTGTATAACATTTATACGATATACTATCCTCGGGCCCATTGAATCTCCGATAGTCAAGAGGCATTTTGAAATTTTTTGGTTAGGTATGTTAAATAAATTTATGAGACAGTTCTTGAATCAAAATTTTAAACGTAATGGTTATAAGTTATCCTTCTCACAAGTTCTGTTAACATTAAAAGTATTATATGAAAAGTATTTAATTAGCAGTTGATTTTAAATTTGAATATTGAGCATGAAATAATGGATTTCAATAAATTTGATTGAAGGAATGTCAACAGCAATCCTTTAGGTATGTTTTTTTTGTTCAGTTATTGTTGTTGTTTTAAAATTCGTCCAATTTGGAAAGGCGAAGAGCATTGCCTATACTGCCAAATCAGTAGTTACAATAATCTTCAGGATATAAATCAATTTATGTCTTTCGTAGAATATCCGAGCTAATCATGACTGCTTCAATGAAGTTCTTTCTTAAGTAGAATGTTCGAAATAAGTTTCTTCGGTAATACATAGATTTAAAATGTTGTTATTACACCGTTCTGGATGACGTACAGCGATCTATAGGTATCATGAAGTGTTACAGTTTCGACAATGAAGCTTCCTCATCTACATCTAGCATCATCTATCCAATATGAAGATCAACATTTTGAAATCTTAAACGAAAACATAGTTGATTTAAATCTAAACTTTTAGATTTTGTTGGTTGATTAAATATATACAATTAAAGTAAAGTTAATTAAAGTATTGCAGTAGTCGTGTTGGAAACACTCATAGTAATTTGACATTGACAGTTAACTATTTTTAATTATCTATGGTGTGACAACTGACAGTTTATTTATGTATGGACAGGTGTTTTACTTCTCCCATTGACTTTTAATTAGTTTTTCCATAAAATTTATACTTTTTTTATTATATTTTATCATTCAATTGTTACAACGTTATGTTATAAATAATATTTATTAATAAATAATAATTCTTTACGCCCTGTGCATTCAAGAACAGCGTTTTTGCAAAGTAAGTTGGCATTCACCAATCGCTTCACCGGTGACGTTTCATGGCCTTTACTAACACGAATTATATTTGAATTGAAAGAATTCTACACAACAATGTGCTAACTCTATTATTAAACTGTATTCGTTAAAAAATATGTATGTTTTAATTATTGTCCACATAACTATTTTATTTTTATCTTGAATGAACTGGTTCTTTGATAGTATTTCATAAGTACTTGAATATCAAGTAGTGTTTCTAACGTATTTGATAAGAGAATCAGTCCAACAATGTAAATGACAATTATTGATATTTATATTAATAAACCATTTTCAAATATGAATTATTATATTTGACAACAACTTCATAAGACTGAAATGATTGTGACATATTATAATTACCCAATTTTTGGTATTTTCAATCTCACCCATCATTTTTTATTGAAATATTTTTTAATTTAATGTAAAATGACAATATATTCCAATATTTAATAGATACTTATGAATAGAATACAGTGGCTGTTCCTGTATAGGGTTTTCACCAAATTCACATACTTAGAGTAAAAAATATTAAATATTTATATATTAAAATCTTTCTTGTACCAGAAGTAAATTACAAGGAACTTAAATTAGTGTAATAATAAGAAAATATAGTCTTTTTTAATTTTATTAATTTAATTTAATTACCTGGATGCTGTAAAATTATCTATTTGTTTAGGTGAAATATATGTATTTGAAATAAGAGATTAATGCAGTAGACAAAATATTAAAATATATTAAATTGATTAAGTAGTTTATATGTTGGCACTATAAAATATCTATGGGCAGTTTATTGTCAATTTGTATCCAGTAGCTTTTAAAGCTTACTGATAACTGGGTGTTATGAGTAGTTACTTTGTTTTTTATAAAAAGTGGAAGTTTAAAAATATAATTTACACTCTCCATACTCACTGACTATGGTACTGTAATTTGTGTGGATTTTAAATATAACTTTGAATTTTTCACTTGGATTCATTAGGGAAGCTACCACATTAGTTTTACACATAAGTCTTTAATGACACCATTAATAATTCTATAAATCAATATTATAATACATGTGCTATGAAATATCATTATATAGTCCACATATATCTGCAATAATTATTTTGAGAGAGACTAACCACTGTTTTCATATAAATGAAATTTGTGTGCACAGCTGCAAATATAAATAAAATTGTAATTCATATTTAAATATCTAACAAAGTGTCTTTAAATTTATCCAAATGTCTAACAAAGTATCTTTAAATAATATTATATTGTAATAAAATCAATTATAATTTTAAAATATCAGTTAAGTTAGAAATAAAAAAACCCAATAATATATACATAATCCCTACTAATATTATAAATGCGAAAGTAACTCTGTCTGTCTGTCTGTCTCACTTTCACGCCAAAACTACTGAACCAAATAAAATTAAATATGGTACACAGACAGTCTAAAACTTGAGAAAGGACAAAGGGGACTTTTAATTTATCCAAATGGGTTGTAAGCTAACAAAGTATCTTTAAATATTTTTATATTATATTGTAATAAAATCAATTATAATCCATTTCTCTCAAAATATCATGGAATGCTAAGTTTGATATACATTTTGAAATGCTTACAAATTTTGAATTTCTCTTGTTCTACACACATATATATTATACATATAATCCTTCCACTTGAAGCACTCTATCTATTTCTGAAAACTGCATTAAAATCTGTCTGTCTGTCAAGATGTACTTAATTGAACACACAGCGAAAAATTTGTTTTAACTAACTGGTATTTTTTACCAGAATGTATTTCTTTTAATGAAACTTCTAATATTGTTAGTTGTTACTGGTCTTCACAGCTTCAGCAGACGAAAATATGGCCCAGTGAAGACGTCACTCCAAAACAGACTTATAGAGAAGCTAAAGACCTTTTGAATGATATGACTTACATCAGAGGGCTCCGTTTCATATCTTTGCTCAGGCTGTCATAATTTCGATAACCGTTTGAAAGAAACTGACGCCTACCAGCTTGTAATTTTAGCATAGGCATTTCATAATGATCCTGTAAAATAATATACTTGTAATATTGAGTATATTAGAAATTAATTTTTTTTTGTGTATTTCAGTCTCAAGATGCTACAAAAACGGACAACGTACCTTGCTCTTGCAGTATTTGCAGCAACCTGCATTCTATCGACCGCACAGGGCCAACCTCCACATGTAACATCATCAACCGCTGTGCCAAATGCAGATGTATGTATTTTTTTTATATTATTTGACTTAATGCACCTTAGCTGGGAAGGCGATTGTTAGTAATGCTAGAAATGTTTGCTCGATTAAATTAATTTAATTATTAAAATATAAAAAAAAGCATAGCGGGAATTGAACCCTGAACGTCCGCGTAGTGGATTAAGACACTGCTGATTCGTGTTATTTTGACCAAGAGACCGAGCCATTTTGCCGTTAGTGCTAGCGATGAAAATAAACTAGTATATAAGTTGCACGTCGAGTTTCAAAGGCTTATTTCTTTGAAACTACTGGCCATTCTGAAATAATACTTTAGGTTTGCATACCCTTATGGGAAACTACTACCACACGGAGTCTCGTCCCGAAGGGAATTTCCCCACACCGTGCCCTCCCTTGTAAGTATTTATATTAGATGTCTAGTACCCATAACACAAGCTCTGCTTACCGAGGGGCTAGATGGCGTCGTGTTAATTGCCCAGGGTTATTTACTTATTTATATATAACTTATAAAGAAAAACTACACGCGCCACGATCCAATAATAGTGTGGAAAATGGATTCCCATTTTACACGAAACTAGATACTTGTTATAATATTTGCCATATTTTTGCAAAAACATATATATTTTGTAGTGCCAAGTCGTTGTAGAATTAGATACCAGAATAGTTTATTTTCCTTTACCGCTGGTCACGACATGTTCTATTGTACAAGGGACAACAGCAGGTAAACGTTGTTTCCATAAAATATTAGGTAAAACAGTAGTCATGAAGTCATTACGTGACTTTTTATTTGATGTTTGCTCATTTGACAATTAACACTACTTTTTACGTGTGTATAAAAACATAAAAAATGAAACGTGGATGTGTCGTCATTAGTACTATTTTATATAGTATCATTCGAACAACTAGTACAATTATGGTTTATCTCAAAATATTATGAAATTAGACCTTAAATATAGTCTTATAGAGTTGATTTTCTAAAGTTTGTTATTTTTGAGTTAAAACAGTATTGTTTTAGATGAGCTACATGGAATAGGGGATTGCCAGTAATATGAACAATTAGGATGATCATGTCATTATTGCTAACAATGTATTTTATCAGATTGACCTTCACGTTTTTTGTTAATTCTTCGGGTATCCGCTAAAATATTCATCAACTCTGATCTGAGACCATAAGGTGTAATTTCATGCGAATTCTTCCATTCTTCTTTTTTTTGTTATTGGAATGGCAAACAGGCTGAAGGCCCACTTGATGGTAAACGGTAACTGCGCCTATGTATGTATATGGTAAGATGCCCAAATTTCGCCCAAATGAAATAGTTCTTTTCATGTCAATTTCACTACCAAATCGCACCTTACCTCCGAAACAAAACGTACAAAGCAAGCTGCTTTGCGCTGACAGTACTGCTGTCAGCGTACACCATTTTTATGTTATATGTTACTAATTCATTCGAATACTATGAAACGTATTATCGTTTTGCTTCTTTTTTTAATTCTTTGGGGTCTAATAATATAATCTAATAATTCATAAAAAACTAAAAATATACTTACATACTTTTTAAAATGTCGTTGTAAAAAAAATTTACTCGAAAGCGCCTAAAATATTTGTTAGTAAGCATTTTTTTCAAATATCAATATGCAATGGTGCACCTGCCTGGGCTAAAGGTTTACGCTGGCGGGCACCAGTGGAGGATGATAAGTTGAACATAAGGTCAGTTGGGTCAACGTGACAACTTTACCAGGAATTTATCAAGATGGTTTCCAGGGGGAATCGCGTGGAGGTCAATCTAACATGGTACTTTGCTAGTATTGGAGTCAACAGTCCTGATTACTAACAATTTCCTTCCTTCCCAGTTAGTAAACATTCTCTAAACAAATGATATTAATTTACTTAACATTGTTGACCTATTGTATAATAATTAGTTTAAATTATAGAAAAAAAAAAATGGGTTTAGAAAAGAGCATGTCACAAGCTATTTATCATAATAAACGATTGAATTATTAATATTTATTGTCCCTACTTTCCTGCTATTGTGATTTTTATACATAGTCGTGTTTGATATAGATCACGATACTAAGTAACCACTATAATTAATACATTAATAAAAAATGAACCTGTTTGCAGTAAACAGTGACGTCAAGATTAGCCCGCATTTTGCATAGTGGTCTACAATGAAATTATTGGTTTTGCTCTAGACTTCTTAATTATTAGAAACGTTTATCTGCGCCCCCAGAGGTGCGAATTGAGCACTGCGCTCCAGTTGCACCGTGAGAGCAATTGGTGATGGGTCTCTGAGGCACGCCGCGCCGGTCATGAGCTATGGCATGCTGGCCTGGCTGGCGGCACCAGATGGCTCCCAAAGTTTTGGAACGCTATATCTTGGGAAGACAAAGCCTCCGAACCGGCGCTTGGTCTAACGATCCTACTAATTATGAAGAATATCCCAAAACCAATAATATCACTGTGGACCACTATGTAAAATACGGGCTAAATTGTATGGGGACTTTGGCGTCACTCTTTAAATTGGAAATTATAATAATAATTACAATCCACGACAATTTAGACATCGCCATCCAGTCTTACACTAACCGGAGCTTATACTATACGTACTTAAAACTGATAGAAATACTTAAATACATTTTTGTAAATACATACATATTATGCATAGAAAACATCCAGACCAATAACAAAAATGTTTGTTCATTCAATCGAGCACGCGACCATCGGAACTAAACTTAACACTTACTTTATTTATACTTAGACATGGTTGCCTTATGTGACATCTTGGTTTAAAGGGTGAAAAGATATTTAAATTACATGACAGTTTAGTTCGGAGAATCACCACCAGTGTGGTGCCAAGTGCACCACTCACATAATGAAGGTGTGTTCATGGTGCTATTCATGTATATAGACATCAGCTAATTAGGTATACCACAACCATATGGTTTTGGTATACCTAAAAAACAATATTATCTTCACATAATATAAAACAAAGTTGCCGACGCTGTCTGTTCGCTTATATCTTTTAAATTACACAAAAGATTTTAATGCAGTTTTCAGCAATAGAAAGAGTGATTCAAGAGGAATGTTTATATGTATAATTCATGCGTGTTATAGCATAGAAAAAGCCGAGAAATTTAAATATTTGTTATGCACCCGTGCGAAGATGGGACGGGTTGTTAGCTGAAAATTAATTTAATCAGTTCCTCATATATAAATCAATGTAATAATATTGGAGTCTCATTATATATTCTTTCACACAAGCAATGGAAAGGGGGTGAAAGGAGATTGTGTACTTGGTAGTTACGTAAATTTTTAATAGAGGGCGTTAACAGAATATGTAAACAATGTTATCCTTGACAACTTTTCCTTTTTGGTAGTCGTATGAAATATATAGCGTTATATACCTAGAGTGTTTTTATCACGCACAACCCCATTGTATCACCTCCCCGCAATGGTATATCTGAACTGATACGATATTAAAATCTTCAAGGAAAGAGCTTATTTCTCCTTAACAAGCGGCCTTCTCACTTGCAATTCTTCTGATCTTGTCGTTGCGCACGGGCGGTGAAATCACCATATATTTACCATCATGCTATATAATTTTTTTAAATTTGTTTTGTCATAGTTAGTGGAACGTGAATGTTTAATGCCGTATTGGCTTGCCGTGGAAAATCTATCCAAACATTTGGATTCTTTATCAAAGTTCATTCTGTTTCCCTTATGGATTTTAAATGTTTGAAATATTATATCTTTTATGCAATATTTTTAGTCGTAGTAGTAGTTTATATTAATATTCCTGAAGAAACGTAACAAATGGGACCTTCCGTTACTATACTTACCTTCTGGAATATAAAATTTTCTTTGTGGAAAATTACGAAAAAAATCCTTGATTGAGGCGCTTCTACAAGCTTAGAGGTTCATAACGTAATGCATTTGTATATTTCATGTTTCATGATTAAGTATGAATCATTTGAGTTACTGATGCAAATTGATACAAAAAAAAACATTTGCAAAGAACAATACAAAGTACTTATTTCATAGCTGATAGACAATCAGTATCGTCCCCTATATAGGTACTGAAGCCATGTTGCGTGCAAGACGTAACCTTGAATATTTTACTAAATAGTCGTGGTATTGCGTGTGGTCTGAAATCAATCGATACTTAAGCAGTTGTTATAGAAGAGATGGATTTAGCACACTGTCGGTAGGGCTGATTGCCCAGTCCATAAAAAGTGGTAGGTCAAAAGCCAGTTACAGTCGACATCAGTTAATAAGTTTGTATGACATAGCTTATCTACATACATACATCTAATGTCAGACCTATCATACTGACGTAAATTTGTACAAAGTGATGTGTGGGTACTTTGGTTTGTTTGAAGAGCAAAGCAGTGAAATTATAGGGTACAGAGGCATGACATGTCAATCATATGAAACAGTAGGTAACGAGTGGTACCTATAATCAGCAGCTTGTTTGCCATTAAAATAACATAAAAAAATAAATTTATCTCTTCACGTGCCGTCATAACTGAACGTGTTTAAAAATTTCACGTGTAAATACTTTTCATATTGTCTTTGACTTACAAATAAACATCTTTCAATTAACTTTATATCATCATTTTCGTAATGTAAATTAGGTTTGAAGATTATGCGCTAAATACTGACTTATATGTCCAGTGACACTGATATACAAGGTAAATAATCAAGCGGATAATTGTAGCCATTGATAATCTACTGCAAATACAAGTTTTCCTGTCTTTGTCGCTTTAAATGTATTAGAGCGGCAAAGGTAAACGAGGTGATCTGCACATGTAAACGGAATATTTATTAGTGGATGATAATGGAATGATGCACCCGCCTGTGCTAGTGGTATATGCTGGCTAAGTCCCAATAGAGTAGAATAGGATGAGCCTGAAGTCAGGTTAGTTCGCCCAGCGTGACGAATTCATCTGCAATTAATCACAATCGTAATAATACGTACCTAATAAAACGCAAAAAAAATGTTTTTTTAGGTAATTAGGTAATTGACATAAGAAACCATCTAGTGGTAACTGGTGACCATAGCCTATTCCATATAAATAAACAGCATCATGTTATATCCGTAATACCTCATGCGTTGTCATTCCAGAGAACTAAGATGTCACGCCTTTTATTCTGTAATTTTACTGCCTAATCTGCACCTTTGGCCCTGGCGGTTGAAATAAGTGAGGTACCCACGTACGCGACTTTTTACAGTCTACCTCTGTGTTTAGGCCATTTGCTTACCTAGTAAGGGTAGTGGATTAAAATAGGGATTATAATATTTCGGCCATTTAGCTTAGCTTTTGTATTCAATAGTTTATACAATACGGGTTGAATTAATATTATCTTTTATTAATGAATTTTCCGCGGCGTTGCCGGCCGTGCTCGGCCAGTTAGAAAAGCAAAGTCGTAACAAAGGTTAAGCGATGGTCAAGAATTTTAATAAGATATCTATATATTCACACATTAATGAAATTTTAACGGGCCTAGTTCCGTGTATTTAGTGTTAACATTAGAAAAAAAAAAATGAAAGTCTTAATTAGAATTAATAGAAACTTTTTTTGTACTTTTTTGTGCTCGCGTAACTTCGTGTGCATCACATCACCCTTAATTGATATGTATTACTATATTTCTCCCAATTAACATACTATCGTCTTAAATTATAGCCTATGTATTATTCTTATGTATAAGCTATATTACTGTAAAGTTTTGTCAAAATCCGTTCAGTAGTTCCTGTGTGAAAGAGCAACAAACGTCCATCCATACTCACAACCTTTTGCATTTATAATATCAGCATCGATTCAGAACGACTGCGCCATACAAGATTTGTACGGAAGATGAATATATGTTTATATTTATCAATAAAAAAATAATGGACAAATTAATTTAATTTTCACTTTATAGAAAACACTTGTTTGCATTTTCGTTGCCAACTTCGGAAATTTCTATTTCTATAACTAGAAATTACGATATATTCACATGTAATAATAAATGTTATTTTGTATCATATCATAGTTATTCATAAACTATCTCGATGATCCTTTCATCTAATATATACGATGATAAGATTTATAAGCGAAAGTTCGTTATTAATAGAATATTTGACGTCATAGCCTTCGCAAACAGCGCTGACGTCCATCCCAAAACTGAACTATTTGTATTAAAAAAATCACCATACTATAGACAGGTACATGTGCGCACATAATATTGGCACAGTGTCAAAATTTATAAATAGTATATTTTTTATCTAAACCGTTTTCCGTCGACTGTACTTATGTAAAACTCCTTGAGTTATCCTCGAAAAGGTGTTTGAACGTAGTCTTACCGCGTACCACACGGCGTATGGTCGCGTGTTATCGCCATTTATTTAATATATACGGGGTCTACGTAACTAATGTATCCATATGTAGTATTATTGTTATCAGATGTTTAAATGATAGCTGTATCAGTATAAAACACTTGCTTTGTTAATTATGCAGTGTTTTCTTTTGGCGGGCACGACGCCGCTCTTTTGTTTTTATTTTTTTTTTAAATTAGTATTGTGACTGTGTATAATTAAAAATGAATACTAGTGAGGTGCTCGAGTTTATAATGCCATCGACGACTTTGTTACCATTATCGATGTATGTACCAGACATGACAACAGTTATGCCTGAGAGTGGCACTTTTTTCGGTGATACAACCATTATGAGTGATGCATCATTGTTAGCAGAAACTACATCTTTCTTGTCAGAAACGACAACTTTTTTGCCTGAAACAACTACAGGTGCATCCGATTTTAGATCATGGCTGACGGATATTGTAATGAAGGTTGGTTTCTAGTGTTTTTAATTGTGTTGTGGATGACTGCATCTCGTCATTTTAGGGTTCCTTATTCAAATTAAATATCGTTTATGTTTATTCTTATAGGAATCTTTCGGCCGCTTATAATTGTCAATTTTTTGGGTGGGCTACAACTCAACTCTCCACAACTGATAGATACACCTGCATATTTTTTTGTAAATGCATACATAATAAATAGAAAACACCCACACCAATGCTTATAACAATCATACTCTTGAATACAAAGGTTTGTACCGTGCAAGGAATGAAACTCGCGACCGTCGGAAGTAAGGCGGTATGCTAAAACGCTAATGCACCAAGGCCGTAAATTTTTTTAGTTTATATAAAAGTATTTCGGGCGGAAACCCGTTTTTTTTCACTAACCGTGTCAGTTATCTATTCAATGAGGTTTGTCGTAGTGTTTCTGTAGTTTAATTTTATTACAAAAAATGTACAGTAGGTATTACACATACGAAAGAAGAATTGAAAGCACAGTAGTTATTACACATAGAAAAGAAGAATTTTCATTGACAACCATTGCATTATTGTACACATAAACAAAACTACGGAACGCATTTTCGAACCAATTCCTGATAATGTTTGGTGTACAATATAGTAAAATCCAAGCTAAGCCGGTGTGCATCGATAGTTATAAATTACGCCGGTAGCAAATCTCGAAATGATAATGAAAACTACATCTGAACGTCTTCTTCTTCTTCCAAACCAAAAATATTATATAGTATGCAATTTTTTCGGTTTGGAAGAACTAAACGAAGATCCAAATAGACGAAAATAGCAACATTAATTTATACTAAGTATTTATAGATGATATAATTTACCAATACAATACTATATAAGAAGTGTACATAATAAGAATAATAAAGTAATAATGTAAGAGAAGGAAAACTCTATGTAAAATCCTCCGCTAAGTGTCTGCGTTGTAATAGATTTCGGGGACAGACCCGTGCCCTGAATGTAAGTCTTTATGTGTTGCTATGGTATACTATGAGATGTCTTTACATAAACGATGCAGCGCCATCTAGTCCCGAGCTAAACAAAGCTTGTGTTATGGGTACTGGAAAACTAATAGAAATACTTAAATACATTTTATTTGTTATATATAAGTAACTAACTGACCCCGCAAACGTTTTGCCATATAAATTACTATTCAATGATAGAGGTTGGTGATACAAGGGTGAAAATTTAGGGTTATATGTATTTTTTAATATCACAAAATTTATAAAAAAAACGTGTCTGTGATGGACAACCCTTATCACTTAGGGGTATGAAAAATAGATAGTTCTCAGATCTACCGAATATGCGTATAAAATTTCATAAAAATCGGTCGTCAAGCCGTTTCGGAGGAGTATGGTAAATAACATTGTAACACGAGAATTTTATACATATCTAACATATGCATAGAAAAGACGTAAACCAAAACAAACATTCATAATAACATTGTGACTGTAGAATGTTATATATAAGATACACATAGAAAAGACCTAGACCAATACAAACACTCATAATAACATTGTGACTGTAGAATGTTATATATAAGATACACATAGAAAAGACCTAGACCAATACAAACACTCATAATAACATTGTGACTGTAGAATGTTATATATAAGATACACATAGAAAAGACCAAGACCAATACAAACATTCATAATAACATTGTTACTGTAGAATGTTATATATAAGATACATATAGAAAAGACCTAGACCAATACAAAGACTCATAATAACATTGTGACTGTAGAATGTTATATATAAGATACACATAGAAAAGGCCTAGACCAATACAAACACTCATAATCATGAATGTAAGTTCGCATCGTGCGAGGAATCATCAGAAGTAAGGCGGTGTTCTGAACCAATAAACCACCAAGGTCGTCATTTCATTAACATTTAAATGGAGTCAAATAACTAATGCTCGGTAGCTAGGTGACTACTGAGCGATATGAGTCCACATTATTAAGTATATTGTAAGACTGTTAGAACAAAAAATAATACGAGATATTTGATAACACGACCTATATTATCACATAAATCAATAATAATATTGGTACTCTTACCCAGATATGTGTTATTTACCTAGTACTTATGTTAAAAGTAATAAGCCGAAGTATAATGTGTACAGAGAAGTCTGCATAGGTGCCTCAGTTTAATTCTGCCGCGAAGCAGTTTGCTTTTTATAAAGCATATATAAACCAACTTACATGTATTATACATATAAATATTCCTCTTGAATCGCTCTATCTAATGCTAAAAACTGCGTTAAAATGCGTTGCGTAGTTTAAAAGAACTAAGCGAATAGACAGTGGTGGTCACTTTCATTTGTACTATGCAAAATTGTGCTGTGATTTTGTTGAAAGGTATGGGGAGATTACAGAAGCATGTCATACATCGTCCGGAATGGTAATGCATGAGGCGTCACGTGATAATGTAATGTCTGTAGTGCTGTTCATGTATATAGGTCATAGTTACTACTTATTTATTTATATAGTGTAACTTCAAAGCACAAAATACCAAGGTAAAAGTACATATGGCGGACTTAACGCCTTACGGCACTTTCTACCAGTCAACCACAGGTTGTGCAGAGAAAAATTAAGACACTATCAGAAGGACCGTCAACTTGTTTGCCATTCCAATTACATAAAAAATACTATGTGTATGTACTAACACATGGATAACGTAATGTAACCAGGATAGCGAATATGGACAATCCTAATGATTATTGGTTATACATGAACTTAGGGCTGCCAACTCATTTTGAAAAATATTAAACCACTAAATATTATAAATGTGGAAAGAACACTAACACAACAATTTAAATGTTATAGTGTATAATATTATGTAACAGACTTAGTTAAGTCTGCGACTTTACCCGCGTGTATATCTGTAAAGGTCGTTTATTGATAATCGTCAAACAACAACCAAATAACAGTATTTTTTTTAATTTATCCCATTTAGATAAGATTTTTTTAGCCTATATCTTGATCTACATTTAACAACATATTTTGTTTAAATTTCATACTAATCTCTCCCGCAGTTTTTACGTCAATTCTTGACACGCGAACAGATCAATAGACAGTTTTCGTCTGGTCACGATTGTAATGAAAAAGGAAAAAAGAATAAATATATGCAAGGAGAAAAAGTTAAAGATAATAATAAATGCTTTGGTTGTCAACCCTATATTCAGTAGTAATGTTTATTTCTCACTATTTATTTGTGGCTGTGTAAGTGCAGCGATTTGCGGTAAAGTACAAAACTGGTTGTGCGAAATGGTGTCACAAAGTCTAGCAATCTATAAATAGAACAGATAATATAAACCTGTACGAATTACTAGTTAAGGTATCATTTCTCTTAAATATTTCTAAGCAAGTTTTCTTTTCTGGTATATGATCAACGAATGATTACGTTACTGGTTTACGGTTGCATCGTCCAAGTAAGCATGATTCTGGCTGCGCCCAGACACTCCACAGTGGCATTCTCGATCACCCTTCGATCGATCATATCCCATTTAAATACGGATCGATATCACGCGAGATTAAACCGACGTGACGCGACGTTCGAATTCACACAGTCGTATCCGTCAGTCAGGAGTTGTTCATAGTCGCTCCACAAGTCCTTCCTCTGGTTTGGAGTGCCCTCTGTTTTGTCCGTAAAGCTGGCCAGCTACGGCCAATTTGCATTAGAATTTACGTTGGTATCGCACCAGTTTACTTAGAAATCTGCCGTTTAATTATGTAAAATATAACAGGGGTTTCTTATTTAGAAAATTCAAATTGTTACTGCGATTCTATGAACCATTTGATAGTTGCAATTCGTAATATATACTTTGCTCTGGACGAACCCTGTCCCATTCCAAGGAAACCAAAATTATGAGCGATATTATCTGACGTTCGAAATCTTGGCATTATCCTCAAGTCATATCCTTCAGCTGGTTTATAAGCCTTTCTGCGAGTTCGGCCCAATTTTCGTCTGTTTATTCTATAAAACACAAGTGCGGCCAGTAATATTAGAAAAAAGAGATACGTATTGGTAATACATTGTACTGCTGTTTGTTATTAACATAAGAATCTCTTGAAACAGCGTACAATAATTGAAATTAATAAATCATTAATTTGTTCAGCTCTATCCCTAATAACCTATGGTGTGTATTACTTACATAACATCACCAGTATGGGGAGGCTATGACGCATTCGCCCCCGAAATAGAGTTGTCCGTGAACTTATGTTTTGACCTTGCCTTAGAAACCATGCGATTTCATTATAATTTAGTTTACTGATGTGATTATTATTGGACTATATACGGTCAGGCGGAATGGTTCTCTATCAATTGTATCAAATTAATTTGCTGATTTCGTTTATTTCTCCAATTACTCTTTCTACAACTTTCGAACTATTATAATGCTGATGGCTGCTGCCATTTACAGCTTCAACAATTGAAATGGTCAAATGCAGAAGGCAATCCAAACACATGAAAAGACTTCTGAAGCAACTAAATGCCAAACCTTCCTGTCGGATACGATAGTTTTCACTATCATTTGGAGAATTAGTTCCGGAAAATTTATATGTAAATAACTATATTCTCTGTAGACATTCGCTAGTAACTGTACATTCTATTTGTTACCCGTGACATTGTATGCTTTTTTGAACTTACAGCTTAAAATGTAAGTGTCTGACTTTTTAAGTACATAACTTGATTGGTGGAATTACTTTTCTTTCTAAAGGGGTTTTGTGGGAGTTATTGCAAAGCCCATGCGTAATATAGAGTATGCTAGATGTATCATTTAGACTACCAGTAGAAAGAAACATTGACTTTAGTAATACAATAGCTTTAGACAACACTATCTCCGACCACCTCATATGAGATTTAGGTGTGACTGTTCTATTTATTTTTAAATTACTAATTTATTGTTACTTTATATTCTTCAAATCACACTTGTGTAAACAGCATATCATACTTATACTGCTTCTACAAATATGACACATTTAAATATTATTAATAAGTACGGTTATTGTTTATCTTCGTATATGTAGTTATCTACACGGTGTATGCTGGAGAGACTATTAGAGACTGAAGATTGATAGCATGAATATGAAGTCATGTCTTTTAGCCATTGTTTTTTAGCCCATGTTAGCCTATTCACCAAGAATTATTCACAAATCTTTCCAGCGCGTATCGCTTGTAGATCGACCAGATGTGGTGCTGCTGCCAATGGGGTCGCTAGTCATCATTATTACACTATACTCTATAATAATACAGTTTCACCACATTCATAAAAATTAAAACCATGTTTTCTTCATTCACAGCGTACAGCAATCCAGGGCAGCTTCTGGCAGGGTTTCCTGGCTTCTCTCTCCGTCGTTATCGTGTCCGAGCTCGGTGACAAGACCTTTTTCATTGCCGCCATTATGGCGATGAAACACCCTCGAGTCATAGTATTTGCTGGAGCCATATCCGCTCTGGTCTTCATGACAATACTGTCAGCTGCCTTCGGATGGATAGCTACCGTGATACCTCGGGTATATACGTATTATGCCAGCGCAGCCCTCTTTGCAATATTTGGATTGAAAATGTTAAGAGATGGATGGAAAATGAATCCTAATGAGGGTCAAGAGGAATTAGAGGAAGTACAGACTGAGTTGAAGAGAAGAGAAGATCAGGTGAGTTGGTTTTAAAATATAGTTTCATTTACATCATTTTGAATTTATCAAGTCCATTGTATAATATTATACGCATGTCTATAACCTTTAACAAAGAGAAAATATCAACACAGTGGCCACTGTACAGAATTACAAAGATTAATAAATGTACAATACGAATTATTTTATCGAATTAGGTGTAATTTCGCTATAACCCATTTTAGTGTTGGATTTATATAATTTTGTTTAATTCCGCTACCAGTAGCATGTGAGACCACAAAATTTAGAGGAAACTTGACTGCCGCTACTGTTTCGCCTCTGAACGAGGCATCATCAGGCATTGAATAGTTCGTCGAAATATGGGTTTAGATTCTATAACGGTCGAAATTTGATCACCAATAGTTGTAATGCTTCCAGTAGTTTATATAGGACAATATCCTTAACGATATGCTTGAAGGTTTCTTCGTGTTCTGATTATTTGAGTCTATATTATTATTTGTCGAAAGACTGGCTGAATATTTTAGCGCCGAATGAAATAGTAAAATGCGGATTTTACCGGATTACATTAATAGTACGCGTCATAGTAATCCTTTATTTATAATCTACATAATATGTAATCTAATGTCTGATTTATAATATATGATTCATAAGGTATTGTTTTTAATCATTACACACAATTAAATTTGTTTTAACTTAATATAAGTTTTTATTAACTGGTCCCGATTTGTACTCCGAAGAATAACATTGAGGTAAATTATCAATATCCAATTATATTTCCTTGATATTTTATGATTGGTGGTGTAGTGGTTTTGTAAACAGAACGAAGACGACTGCGGAGTCTATTTCCGAGCAATAGAATATTTACATTCATGAATATGTCTGTGTAATCTGATTTTGTATGTATTTTATGTACACGTGGCACGCCACTGCTTCTTTTAGATACTTAACAGTACTTTGTGTATTTTATATATAGACTATGTCAAAAAGTAAAAACTTTTCTTTTCTTCGATGCAGTGGTTTCGAAGTTTTATAATAATAGTTTTTATGGATTATAATGAAACAATGCCCCTGCCGCCTGCGCTAGCAGTATACTCTGGTGCCCAACCAGCGGAGGATGATAGGATGCGCAAGTAGTCAGTTTACTTAGCCCATCGTTCACCAGGTCCAACTATAATGGTTTCTAGAGGGCCTGATATTATATATTGCAAGCAATGATGTCATACACTAGATCCCGACTACTAACAATTTCTTTTCTTCCACTTATATTATTAGAACAGATAAATACATACATTGTAATAGAATTACATGTAATGTCTGGTTTTAAATTGTTACCGTGTTACAAGTTCGGTCGTTGTATATCAACAAATAATAAATATATTCAATCTACTTAATTTACTTAATGATAAATAAATCTTAACATTTTTAGCACAATTACCAAGTGTTTATTATCACGAGATGTGGGAGCGATACGACAAATTTAATTATCTTTTTTTAAACAATAATCTCATTGTAGATAAGATATTTAGTTTTGTATAAACCTATTTTAATTAGATGTTAGATAAATTGCGCGAATAATGTTGCCAAATGTTGAATTCCTTTTAGTTTTTTGTTTTAATTGTTTTAATTTATTTTTCTGTGTACCTTATATAGTTTCGTACTGGCATATAACATTTCGAATACAAACTCGAATCCAAGCATAAAAAGGTACAAAAAAATACAGACAGTAATAAAATCAATGTCAAATTAGTATGGTACTGCACAGGAATCTACGAAAGAGCGATCGAGGTCGCCCAGTGCGGCTTCTTCTACATCCGCCCGTTCACAAATACCAGGACCTTCACGTGTCCCGGAAGAATCTTCGGGGATCCCAGAGGAGCCCCAAGCGGGACCCTCGTCGCAAACAGAATCGCTGAGGGTGATCTAACGTCATTATGCCTGGCAGTACGAATGACACCATAGTTATTTTTCGTTAGCTTAGCTTTTTCTTTTTTTACGTTCCGTTTCACGCCATGTCATAATTCATGCAGAAAACTTTTTGACAGCTTACGTATATTGAGTAATTACAAAGGAATTCAGCATTTGACGATTTGTTTGTAGAGTTGTTATCAGAAAAATTTTTCACGATGATATTTAGACAATCATTTTGCACGTAATAGTATACTGCACTAACTCAAACCCTATCAATATAGAAAAATGGACGTAATATTTTTAGTTTAAAGTTGATTTTCGAAAAGTTGTTATTTTATAGTTTATGCATTTTATTATTAAGACAAAGATTGTGTAAAACAATTAATAAAAATAGTGAACATCAACGCTAATTAATATGGTTGTGCTCTTTACTCATACGTAAAAATGTAGTTGCAAGAGGGACAGAGATAAAATTGCTTTAGTTCCTGTTGTTAGTTAAATAGTTTATCATTTCATTAGCACAGTTATGATCATGTGACCTTACTAATAAAAGACTATTAAATTCGCAGCTAAATCTTTATAATCATTATGATATATTTAAAAAATAATGTTACTTTATCCTTTATTGTTGTTTGATAAAACACGAATGTTCATTTTTCTTTTATTAGTACAGAGTCATTGCATTTTGAGTAGTTCATTAATATATCAAATACATTACCGTCACATTAAAGTATTTTGTATGCTTTAATCGTTCATTTAGAAGCTTAATATTCAAAGCTTATGCGCAATGATTCTTCGATATGGCATCAAAATTATGTTATCACTAGATCTTGCCTGCGACTATACTGATAATAATTATACTGGACCATTCACACAATACCATCTAGTCCCAAACAAAGCAGAGCTTGTGTTATGGGTACTAGACAACTGCTAGAAATACTTAAATATATACATAGAACACACCCAGACCGATACAAATAATCATAATCATGAATACAATTTTTTGTATCGTACGAGGATTCGAACCCGCGACTATTGGAAATGAGGCGGTGTGGTAAATCGCTAGAAAACCAAAAATTAACTGCTATAAAGTGCTATACTGTAGATATGCCAAGTTGATTGAATAACTATTAAATTAAGAACATGTAACAAACAAACCTTCACTTTCCAATTTATAATAAGTAGCGAAGAACAGCCACTTCAAACGCATTTAGAAAGCAAACGCCATATATAGATGATATTCAGACGACCAAAAAATGAAGATCTTATACAGCGCCATCTATTATTTTAGTAATAAACTAATTAGCAATATTAGATGGAGTATTTTAAAATTAATAAGTAAAATAAATAAATTGCCCTTTTAGGGTATATCTTCTAAGACTTCTTTAAGATCTATATGCTGACCCATATTTAACAATATTATGTGGATTTTTACCCTAATTCTTTCAGTAGTTTCTACATGAAAACTTAACACATATAGCTTAGCAAATATATACAGAGACAGTTTTTACTTTCTTCTCAATTTTATTATATTTAAATAACACATAAAAATAACATAGAAAATTCTCTATTCATATAAACTTACATTTAACATTTTTGAGTAGTCAGTTAATTTTTTTAATCTATCATTTATTAGAAAGCTTTCATCACAATAAGAACGAGCAAGTAACTTGCGTGTTGCTCTTTTAAATAATTGTAACGTTACATTGTCAAGCTGAAATGTGTGAATACAAAGAAGTTGCTTATCCACGTGTTTTTATATTTAATCGCTAACTATTAAGCTAGTTGGCTATTTAACGCTAAACAGTAGGTACCTATTATTAGATTATATTATATTCATAAATATTTTATGACATTTTTTGCACTTTATAGCTGTGGCACATTATGTGATAAAGATAATGCAAAACAGGGCATGTACTATATATATAGTTTCGCCTTATTTTACTATAGCATATAATTTGATTTCATAAGTATAACAGATACTACTATAATAGCATATATATATTTTCATACTACAGCTATAGAACGTTGAATCGGTGATTTACTACCACGACGTACTCGCAAAAGGTTGTGGGTTCTGTTTTTATTTATATTTCTGACTAACACTCTGGTAATATATACACCGATAACAAACCAAAAAAAATCTGAGAGACGACTCCCCTGCCACGTTGGCTTCAAAATATACCCATCGCGTGAGCTAGATGATAACAAATGTATCTATAAAAAAAGTGAAAATGTTGCAGCATATTGTTTTTATATACGAGATCTTACCATGTTTCTTTTATTTTTATAAAAGTTAATAATGTACGTGAAGATACTGTGAATACAGATAGCCGAGATGAGTATCGATCGAGTTTCAATAGTAGCAACAAACGAAGACGAAACGAAGGTGGATGTGAAGAAATGGAGATGAATATCTACCCATAAAAGCTTTAATTTACCATCTACCCACTGCTCTTCAGTTTACCCGTGATCATAGCGGTTATATGTTCATTCTGTTCTGCGTGAACGCCGATTCGCGGATATAGAACGTACCTGTAAAGGCAGCTATTAATAATATTGCTAATACTAAAAAATAAAAAAAAAGATTAACAATGAAAACTTTATTCTGTGTTCGTTCAGTGAAAACTATTCACCATGTCTCAGGAGTATCAGAAAATCATGATATATATGCTTCAGAAATATTTTGTCATTCGTTCTAAATTGCATGTCTACCGACAATATATCTTTATAGCGTTATAAACTTTATCATCTTATATAGCACTACTGAAAATATTTAACTAAGATAAGAAGGAACATGATTTGTGAATATATTTGATTTTTTTTATGTAATTGAAATAGGCAAATGTACTGTAGGACGCCCCGTAGCTAGGTGGAGCGATGACATATGTACGTACAGTCGGGGCGTCCAGTCAGTACAGTCGCGGGTAAAGATGGACTAGAAGATCTGATGATCGTGCCAAGTCGCGTCCCTTGAGAGAGGCCTATGTCCAGCAGTGGACTGCAGTGGGATGATGATTATGATGATGATGATAATAATTGGAATGACTCACCGAAACAACTTGTAATTTTGTAGTTTATCCTGCATAAAAATTGTACTAATGTGATAAATACGACAGAGTTTCTGTCTATCTATAACATTTTCACCAAACGACTGAAGAGATCTTTAATTAAATTTGAAATGATTATATATTGTGTCTAGCACAATGTGTTCTTCTGATGTATAAGCCTCTCATGTACTATTGTAAAATTTCATTAAAATTCATTCAGTAGTTTTTGCGTGAAAGAGTAACAAACATCCATTAATTCAACCATACTCACAAACTTTCCCGTTGATAATATTAATAAGATTGATTCAGAATTATAGAATCTGCGTTTAAAATTGAACCTTAAAGATAAATTTATAACATTCAAACTTCTAATTTGCAGGACGAAAAAGAAGAAACCCTAGACATGCTAGAGCAGGGACAGCAAGAAAGCAGACGGCGGAAACGGAACGCCGTATTCAAAGTGTTACTGCAAGCTGCATCGCTAACTTTCCTAGCGGAGTGGGGTGATCGCTCGCAGTTAGCCACCGTGGTGCTAGCGACGCGGGAGGATGCCATTGGTGTCGTGGTAGGCGGGTCCTTGGGACACGCGTTGTGTACTGGACTGGCGGTTATCGGTGGTAGGATGGTGGCGCAGAAGATCTCTGTGAGGACTGGTGAGTAAATTTTTTTTATAATTTATTACGATGGAGGCAAATTAGTAGTCTGCCAATAAAAAAAAGTTATACGCATTCTTGGTCCAGTATGCCTGGCTAATTTTGTTTACTCAAGTTAAATAGTTAACTTAATACCCTGCTACGCCGATGTAAAATCAAAAATTATGATTTCGTTTCATTAATTAATTTTTGTATTTATGTCGTTTACTTTAGGCAACTTAATATTATTTATATAATAATATTGGCCCGTATTAGATATACATTAAGGACTAAACATACATACATATAGAAAATATTAATATTGTCTTTGTGGTCACCACACTCAGTATGACAATCTGTCATGGTAATGCTGGTAAACCATTACCTTCGGCGAGTGGTCTTCCTTCATGAAGGTCGACAGCATGTTGGTGGGGACCCGGGCTACAAACGCTTTACTTAAAGATAAATGCAAACGCAAAATATTTAAAAGAAATCTATTTAAAATAACAACAATTTCTTGACCAGGAATTCTTATTGCCTGCATATCCATTCCGATTGAGTGGTAGAATAGGCGAATAATAGTAACGATGTCTTATTATATAGAATTGTTCTATACGTGTGTTTGTCACCTGACTTCTGAACAGCTGGCTGACTGCCAGGTCCGCTAATGGAATGAATGATAATATTAAACTTATCAGAAAAACCTCAACCTGGCCACAACACTAATTATGAAGATGTAATGAATAACAACAAAAACATCGTTAATTTTTTATACTATTAACACCTTATGCTCAATTGTACATCCGGCTCGAAGGACTGACATAATATTTTTTTTCATTTCAGTTACAATAATCGGTGGTATAGTGTTCCTGTTCTTTGCAGTAAGTGCCCTATTTATCGGCCCCGGTGAATAAGGATAGAATGTTTCCTACTATATAAGTGACAATATGAATAATTGTTGTACCCTAGTGAATATGAAGATTTTATATTTTATAAAGCTAGGACGAAGCAACAATAAACTTCAGTAATAATGTAAATAAAATTGATGGATCGTACTGGATCAAACGAAAATGATGCGACTGTAGTGCATTTAGCGTTACTTGTAATTATTAGATAGCTTTTGGAAGAGTATAATGTGGACTAAGAGTAGGTACAGTTAATCAAATTCAACAACAACAGTCTTGTCTAGTTTTGTCATCAGTCAAACAAAGCAAACTTCTGCTGCTTGACGAATTCGCGACTAATAATTAGTAATAAATTATACAATTCATCTCTAACACAAACAATTTATTTAAATATATGTTCTTAATTTATTTGACGGTGGTAGATTCTCGAAATACACACATTTGTATTTATGAGTATGATTGTTTATATTAGTCTAGTTGTTTCCTATTTATATATGTATTTAAGTATTTATATAAATATATAGAATGCTTCTATTTACATTATACAGTAAAATAATAAGAGTACATTTAAATATTAAATCAACACATCTGTAAAAATACAAAAAGGCGCTATTTCTGTTTTAGTACACTCATTACAAGCTTCGTTAAGTTTGGGACTATTATGATTATGTCTGGCGTTATTATTATTATTATTATTTGTATTAACTGTATTGCACATAAAATATTATAAATACAAATGGTTACAAAAGTTAGGATATGTACTAAACAGTCGGTCGTTTAGTTTGATCCAGTATAAAACTATCTACTGTTGTGCATTAAGTGACCTACAATACACTTTATTGTGGCTGTAAAACAAAAAACTTTAAAAGAAACCTTCAACAAAATTGCCTTCTTAATAATGGTATATGACTTGATCAGAATCTTCACAAATATGTAATGTTTGTTGGTGCAATATTTACGATGTATGGTCATTACATGTGACAAGAATGTATGGCTGATCTAGTAAACACACAATCCTATGACATTTTCAAGGTTTGCTGGAAGAAATCTCTTTTTAAAGATAACCTCGCCCTTGTACATTACATTTATTGTCACGATATTTTTTTCTATGTGTGTACAAGAAAGAATAAAAAAAGAAAGATTTTTATATATGGATATTAATGTTATAGATTATAATTGGTGACTGTTGTGCGAATGTACCCCATACTCTTGATTATATATTATCTGTATCAAATTCTGATGTTTATTATACTCTTCTTAAATTTTTTGTTCCGAATTATATAAAATATTATGACTAGATTTTTAATATATTTTTTCATTATATAAATCCATATAGCCATAAATTCTTCGTGGTAAGCATTATCATAAAACACATTTATCACTGCTTTTTTCATGTAATAAGCCCAGTTCTTGTCGGACCAGTACATTGGTCAATAAATTTGCTACTTGGTTGTGAAATTGAAAATTCAAAATATGAAGCCGGTGTGCAATTACATCGTTATCTTCTGGGCTTGTGTTGATGCATTAACATTTAATATTAATATCTTCAACATGACCTGTCACTTGAAGGAAATAATTGTTAACTGAAACTGTATAACGTTTTTTTTTAGATTGAAATATTTCTTAACAATAATTTGTTAAAGATTAGCTTTGAAGAATATTTCTTATCGTGGAAGCTATTCACTTAAAAAGAAATTATTTTTGTGAAACAGTCCAAACTATTTTTAAAGAACCATTAATTTATTTTTTTAGGTACGTTGATTTCATTCTCATAACGGCAGTACCAACACTTATATGACATAGTGATAGTCAATAGACTGTCGCTATCCTTTTGAGTATATTTGTACATTTTAAATTTTAATACTGATTGTAGCATTAAGTTTTTGCATTGTCTTTTAGTCATGAATGTCAATAGGAGTGCGATCTAATCTGATAGTTATTTACTTACACAATTGTCGATAAAATCGATTTAATAGGTACGATACGGTGACAGACATTAGTTCATAAGTACCGATATATCTATTCCTTGTTAAGCAGTTATCATCTTAAGAAGTGGCAGGTATTCGATTGTAAAATGACGTAAATGTCGAGTACATTATTGTGTTGATTTTTTATAATAATTGTATTAAGTTTGGTAATATCTTTAATTATTTTAAACTGATAGTCTGGAGAGGTGTATATATACAATGGAAACCGCATATAGCGACGGATTGGCAGATTACGACCAAATGGCAGACTAAACTGCCTCAGGCAGGATTAAATAAATATATAGAATAATTTATAAAGCTTTTATGAACTATCTGAACGTACAATAATTTTTTAAAGTACTTTCGATGTTGTTATTTCCGGTTTCTATTGTATTATTTAAATTATATAGAAATATATCATTTCGCATCGACTATTCTTTTAAAGATTTATATGCATATTAGTTAATGAATCTTATTGTATTGCAATAATGTTGCTTTCATGGTAACATGTAAGACGACTACTCATAGTAGGAAAGCACTCAGTAATTTACTTGAGATTATTATAATAAAAGAAATTAAGCGTTGTATTTATATTGTTGTAATGTTTAAAACGTTGATGTAATCTGTGGAAGCGCCGAATTTAGACAATATTTTTTATATAAAAAGTATTGTCTCTAATAAAAGATGAAAAGAATGCAAAATACTTGTTATTTATTTTTCTTATATGGGTACACGATATTGAAAGTATAGAATGTTGTTAAATATGCTGTAGATTTTGGATTTTTCTAACCTATACAGATGCACCAAGACGGTATAAGAAAAAATATTGGTGTGCGGTTTTTATGAGGGCACCAAATCCTTAATGATATAATATAATGCTTATTACTAGCTGGCGTAATGAAATACATTTTCTTTGTTTTTATTTAAATCTTTTGAGTTTGTTTACTTCTTAAATTATGTATAAAATGTATTCTCTATACCGATTATTGTAATAGAATTGTAATAATTATATTGTTAGCGTTTATGGCTGTGATAAATATTACCCATTTTATGCTAACCATACTAAACATTGTTTCCAAATATTTTTAATGTAATAACAATACATGAAGTTAGTCATATTTCTGTTTCACTCAGATACTCTTTCTTTTTTTTTATATTGTAATTATTAGCAATAATTTCGATTTAAGATCTATTCAAAGTAAATCTTATTACATTACTATAAGGTTTACTTTGTTAGGTTTTGTTCGGCTACCAGGCATTGCAAATAGAATGTATCCCTATTTCACATCTATTGTTTTTCAATTTCCAAACATACCTTATTGCTATAACTTATTTTTATAAAAATACGCCTGAATACAGGCATATTGGAATTAATATAGATATATTTTTTATTACATTTGCCTCATTTTGAAATGGTGTAGGAATGACTGGCATTTTTAGGTTAAATTGTAAAAAACGTATGTGCTAAGAAAGTAAAATACCACAGGCTAATGGGACCCTTTCTCCGCGAGGGTGTGAGCTCATCACAGAAGGGGTATACAAAAAATTGTTACTTAATGAAATAAAAAATGTATTACAATTAATAAACTATAACGTAAAGCTTTTCTTGATGACAGACAGACTGGTAGTAGGGTTAACTTTCAGTTAAAAATGTTGAAACCTAGGTCTTAGATTACGAGACGTCACATTTCAATTTTAGTATTAAAACTGAAACACTTTCACACTAAAAAACAAAGTGGAAATGTGAAAATATTTTTTTTTATTTTTTGATACCAAATTTATCACGTGATCACGCGGTTTGTATGAAGGTTTTTATTATATATATTATTTTCAGTTTTCCACTTTGCTTTCATAATGTTAAATTATTCAGTTTTTGTCGATACTTTCGGATTGGCTATTCTCTAAAACTAAATAAGTAGTCATGTCACTTGAGTTATAATTTAATGTGACTACTAAAATTTACGGCTTCGATTACCGCTTTACTTCTAATGGCCGCGGGTTCGATTCCTTGCGCGGTACAAACATTTGTATTCATTTATTCAGTATGTTTTTATCGGTCTGGGTGTTTTCTATGTATATTAAGTATATATTTATAAAAAATATATACATATAACCTAACACAAACTCAGCTTAGCTTTGGGACTAGGTGCGCTGTGTAAATTGTCCTGGATTGTTAATATTATTTAATTACCAGATTTACTCTTCCTTATATTATAATTTACGAATATTTAGTTGATCTAGCGTTCTCTCAAGAGATTGTGATATGATTTTGTGTATCTACGACCATCTGTATACTATGTCTTTTTTAATGTAAGTACAAAATATTTTGATTGTCAAGTTCACATCATATAATGTTGCTTTTTGCTAAATGTTGAATTAATGAAAGAAAAGTATTATTTTTATGTAAAAACGAATAAATTATGTAAATAATACATACTGTTGTTGTTAATTTTTTTACGATCAATCAATTAAGACATCACTACCAAAATATTTTTTTAAAAAGCAGGGTATTTCCAGAGTCCATATTATATAGTGCCAATTATTAGACTACTTTATGTGCATTTTATGATTAAGTTTTCTTTATGAAACAGAATAGCAATCTGACGGCTGGTGGTAAGTGGTAAACCGTAGTAGTCTATATACATGAATAACACCACAGACATCACCTCATCATGTGACACATGTGTATCTTACATGCCACACGAGAGGACTTGTACTCCTGTAACTTCACTGCAATCTCAACCTTTAACCAAAAAGCTAATAAACCAAGTAGTACCCCGAAGCAGGTCCTAATTTCGTAAGTCGTTTCCTTTCGTCCGAAAACTTCTGAAATTGTTAAGGTAGTTGTATTATGAAGACTAGAGAAAGTCAATTACCGTGCTGAGAGTGGGTTGAGGATAAGAATCCTCGCAAATCCTACATTTTTTAAAGGTTGTTGCTTAACCCCTTATGTTCTATAACTTCGAGTTCATTCAAAAACAAAAAATGTAATGTTTGTGAGGTTCCATTTCCTCAACCCACGATTGGAACCTTAGCAAAAGCAGATTATTATAGAAGTTTTCAACCCTGTCCTTACTCAAGGAAGTCAATGTATGTCAATCAATGTATCAATGTATGACAGTCTCGGTGGTCTAGTGGTTTCGCACACCGCTTTACTATCCGATGGTCGCGGGTTCGATTCCTCGCACGGTACAAATATTTGTATTCATGAGTATGATTGTTTTCTATGTATAATATGTATTTATTTACAAAAAAAAATGTATCCATGTATTTATATCAGTTGTCTAGTACCCATAACACAAGTTCTGCTTAGCTTGGGACTAGATGGCGCTGTGTGAATTGTCCTGAAATATTATTATTATTATTAATGTGACAAATTTCCTATTGGTCCCATTGGCGTGTTTGACTGATGCTGGTTCACGGCCCATAACTTCACTTAACGGTAGAAACAGGTGAGGCACAGATACCCACGTAGACTTTATACTTTAAACTCCGTAGGCACTTCGGGATAACTGACGTAAAATAAAATAAAGATAATAATTTTATTGATTTATTTAAGATACATAATCGTTTTATCGGGTTCCATTTTTTTTAATCTATCGCATTATGTAATCTAAATGAGCTGACAGGATAAATATAGATACGATCACAATATGATTGATTGATTTTTAAACGTTTTTTTACAAGACTATCGTAATTTCACTCATCATTATCTCAAACTTCGTAAATGATATCAGCATGCATTTTATCTATCACGTACTAAAAGACTGTACCTAGAGATAAGTGCTACATAGGCACTTTTTCTTATATCTTAAAAAAACAGTTTTTATTTAAAAACATAAATAATTTTTTATGATAATTTTTAATAAAAATTATAAGTATATATTTTATGTTCATGATTTTTCGTATATTAAAACAAACGTCAACTTATCATATGCAATTTGTTTCAAACGAGTATTATTTTAGCAACTAAGTTGCAATCCAAATGTTCCTAAACATCTAAGTATCTAATTTCTAGAAAAATTGTACAAAAATAGCGAGTGAACACTCCCTTTCCAGTACTATAAAATAGAGTAAACAATTATGTATACACATCGACTTTTTTGGAAATTCTCAAAACCACTATTATTTCAGCGCCTTTGACCTGATGACTAACTTACTTAATAATAAAATTATAAAATTTGATTAAAAACAATGTCAATCATCATTACGATACAAACTGATTAAATATTTATAGATAAACATATAATTATAAATATAGGTGCAAAGATTTTGATAATTTAATCACCTACAACATGATTCATAAAAACAAAAAAGATATAAGAATGTATTATATAAAAAATAACATTATTCGTATTTTATGTAGTGCTATACCTTTCATCCATGGTATGACTTTGTCAACTTAATGGCTAGTAAAATTATACCTACGTTTATTATTATCATTAAGATTCCAGAACAACTTACAGTAGATGGCGCGCATGTCGTGTACTGGAAAATGGCATATCTGTATATCTTCTTCCTCTTTTCTTACCTAATAAATGACTCATTCCCATACCTTCACTGAAGCCTACTACTAATTACGTATGCAGGTAATGAATAGTTAAACGAGCAGAAAACACAATGTGATAGTCGACAAAACTTTGATTTATAGGTTTATAGGATTGATTTCGTAACTACAAAAAATTGCTTACAAATATGTAAGCAATTTTTTGTAGTTACGAAATAAACTGGGCTCATATTATTAGGTTTACCTACTTTTCGCACTGAGCAACAAGTAGGAAAAATGCATTTAGGTCCTTTGGCAGATGAGTATCAAAATTATATATCCATTGCCACTTTCCATATTCATGATTTCTGAGTTCGCTTAGTCATAAAACTGATCGTCAATTATAGATACAATAATTACAAATTCACGACATGCAGATATTACACAAGAAAATCAAGATAAAAACGCAAAGGAATATTTTATTTCTCATAACTGGAATATGCTAGTTGCAGGTACTTACAATAGGTAATTAGGAAACAGATGAGAAATTATTCCTTTGTGTCTACTATAGAAAAGCACTTAATTAAAATATTGTACATGCTTTTTAGTTTGCAATTGTATAATGGGTTAGTCACAATGAACACATGTATGTATACATGAAAATGAACAATATTGCCAAAGCAGCAAAGTGGAAAATTGAAAATACTACTTTAAACATACAAACCGAGTATAATGAGTAGGTACTCATACTCACGTGATCAATTTACGTTCGAAATTTGAAATGTTCATAATTTCTTTTCAGCAAACCATTTTGTGTTTTGGTAAAAGTGATTCAGATTCATGAGTATTGTACTTGATACTATGACTTATATACTTAATACAATAAAACATTAACTCAAAAATCACACATTTTTGAAGCTATACTTTAAAATTAAAACTATAGAGTCGATTTCTAAAATTTATAATTAAGTTGATGCATTATTGTAGTGTCATATACATATATGCGCATGCGCATGCTCTAAATAATTCGCGGTACTTCTATCCCTGTGTATACGAATATATATCGTAATATATTCATATTTATATATATCATGATGTATAAAAACCGATCAAATATAGATTATTTACGTATATTTACGTACGGATTAGATCGGTATTTATAATTAAATATTTACATGCATGTTAAGTTAAATAAACTGCTATATAGTCATCGGAGGCGTCTAGCACAGCCTGCTGTAGTATGGGGTCTTTGCCGGTGTCCAGCGCTGACGTGTGACTTGGCAGGAACAAGCACATGCGGTTGCCATCGCCCCAAGAGTGGTTGTTAGTACCTGTACCCATCACCATACACTACCACACTACCCAGTAATTATAATGATAAAATAATTTAGACAAGCATAGTCCATTGAGGAAAGGGAATTTTAGTAATACAAACTAATGGACCCACTGCTTTGTACAGGTAGACTTCCACGTTGTAACAAAAAGAGTCGTTATAATCATAATTTGTTATTTAAAAAACAACCAGACGCATCATTACATATAATAAAACAAAGTCGCTCTCACTGTCTGTCCGTCACTATGTATGTTTAAATCTTTAAAACTACGCAACAGATTTTGAAGCGGTCAATTTTAATAAATAGAGTGATTCAAGAGGAAGGTTTATATATAAACATACCCGTGCGAAGTCGAGGTGAGTAGCTAGTTTTACATAAATTAAATAGACACGCACTATAACATTATAACTAACCAAAACCAAAAACAATAATATATATAATTATATTTCCTAAGAAAAAGTTTTCTTAGTATTAATACATCACACACGTGGTCCATGGAAACCTTAGTAGATGATTCCTGTTGAATCGGGAACTATGAAGTAACTGACTCGACCTGATGCTCATCCTATAATCCCCCACTGGTGTTCCACCAGCGTACACCGGTAACGCAGGCGACTACAGCATTTCAATATAACCCATTAAAAAACCATTGGGCGACTACTAGAGTCGCCCAATGGTCGAAATTCTATACTTCCATATGGTCTATTACCATAATTAATTTAAATTATACATATAAATGAAATTGCAGTCAATTTGTAATATTGAAATAACCGTTTTATACTACATGCATATGAATATAAATACGGTACTTACACCAAAATAACATTTTTGTCTGTCTGTCTGTTTGTTCCAGCTAATCTCTGAAACGGCTGGACCAATTTTGACGGGACTTTTTTGTTGGCAGGTAGCTGATGTAATAAGGAGTAACTTGGCTACTTTTATTTTAGAAAAATAAAGTTAATTTCCATGCGGACGTAGTCGCTGGTATACTAATATAATGAATTAATATATACCGTTTATATGTGTGCAGATAGCCTAATCTATCATTATTGTTCTAATACATGTAATGTGACGAAATAATAGATAATTAAATTAATAACAAAAAAATAAGGTAATTCTAAAGTTAAGTCTACAAATGCTTTGAATGTAATAATTTTCACGATAGACTAGTCCTCATTACTATTTACTCCCTGCCCTCAATCCATGCGGTTGCAACATATATTTATTATCTATATCTGTGAGCACCACAGACAATAACAGGATATAATTGGTGCTACTTACCTATGTATTGCAACAGGCGGAGATTACAAAGCTATCGGTCATAACCTCCAGAGCAGAACAACAGTGCATGCATTTCTGTCTCTCGGTAGATATAGGCAATAATATCATACTTACATACATACATACATCCAAGAGCGTCAAATATATATATGCGCGTTACCAACCATTGTGAAACCATAATAAACACATTCTATCCATAATAAAGTTTTTTACTGTATTTCAATATGCAACAACGAATATATATGTATATATACGCACATAACTAGGCGTCCATAAACTACGGTAAGCATTTACCTCGTAGTATAAAAAAACCTTACAAGAAAATGATATTTTAAGTTTAAGTAGAATGGAAAACAGACTGTCGACTAACCTGACGGTAAGTGGTAACCGTCTCAATATAGGTATATGATCATGACGACCGTGACTCATACATTGCCATTGACGAAAACTAAGATGTCATGCCACTTATCCTGTAATTTCTGTAATCGTACCCTTCAACGAAAACATATCTTACAAAGCAAGCTGCTTGGAGACTGAGACATGTGACACTATATCCACGCAGATGAGATTTTATACCTTCTAGAAACAGAGTATTAAAGTAAAGAAGAATGAAATCGGTTAAGTCGTTGCCAAGTTATTAGGTGATCAAGAGAAATAGTTGTTAATTTATATTAATGCATAGAATTTTCGAATTCTATTCTATTGTACATTTTTTCTATATATAAAGTGATAGTCTGTGAGTTATTGCTTTAATAGATAAGGCTGCTTATCTCTTAAAGTAATATGTTTAGCTTAGATTGTTTGTATCAGTCTGGGTGTTTTCTATTTGTATTATTGTAGGAATTTACAAAAAAAAATGTATCTATGTATTTGTATCTGTCGTCTAGTACAAACAAATAACACAAGCTCTGTTTAGCTAGGGCTGGATGGCGCTGTGTGAATTGTTCTGATATATTATTACTAGCTGTGCTCGCGGTTTCAGAAACGCGGTTTTTCGCGTGAAATTATAGCCAATATATTATTCTGATGTATGAGCTAAATTACTGTAGTTTTATCAAAATCGGTTCAGTAGTTTTTGCTTGAAAGAGTGAGCAAACACAAAGTTTATAATAACATGTTATATTGGTGGAATTTTAGGGTAAGAATAAGGTAACTGTCTCACCATAGTACTTGAGCGGCCACTGGTATGGATTGTGTGTACGTGCGAGTAGACACGACGGGGCTTCGCCAGGTGACAACACGCGCGCCGGCCACCAGGGACAGGAACCCAGCTTGTGCCACACCACGTCGTCGTACCTGGCCAGATTGAATGATTATAGTTTTTTATAGGGAACTTGACGTAAACCTCTATACAAGGATATAGTGACTCTATTTTTGAACCCCTCCGATAGATCCCCTATTCAATTCAAACGGGGATCAAAATTGGGGGACCTGATCCGTGCCAAGATTGCTTTGCCAGTTGGGTTTCGGTTGCAAAATGAGATATGGTGGTGAAATTATAGTCCATGCTCTGATCCAAAGGCTTGAGCCACCTTATTGCTCTAAAAATCCAATGCATGAGGGATCAGTTTCTTTGTTATTAAAATCTGAAAGTGTTTTCCCATAGAAAGAGAGAAAAAAATTATTTGTAATTTGGATGGAATGGACATGGGTCAAAGAGAATTATTCTCATCAAATTACTCAGTGCAATTTGAATACGAGATAATCGAAATTAGAGTTAATCATAGACCACAGAAATTACTCACCCCACTCGAGGACCCCACATGCAGCTCGGACACAGAGCTAAATTCTCTTTATCCTTTTGAACAGAACATATTGTTCTGGTACTAGACAGGATCTTATCTACAAAAGTCACTTTTGTTTGAGTCTTCTTTGGAGGATTCTTGCGGTCTGAAAGTAGGATTTTACTGTGAATAATACACATATAGTAATTTATCTTTCACAAATTAATAGTTTCCTTGACTGATAGACATTAGTATCAATCACGAATTGTGTGAATATTCCGGTCGAGTACGCACTCGAGCTACAAAATACGTAACTGGCCGTTAATAAAGTGAACAGCTCTCTGCTTATTTTTTTTATTAAATAATAATTTATTTAATTAAAAAATAATAAAGAATAGAATAAACACCCACCGTCTTTTGTTTTTTTAATGGATGATAATGGAATAACGGTTTATGGTGGGGCACCAGTGGAGGATGAAAGATTGAGGTCAGGTCAGTTAAAACAAATTCACCAGTAATTTATCACGATGGTTTCCAGGGGGAACCGCGTGGAGGTCAACCTGATATGGTACATTGCTAGCAATGAGACCATCGGTCCACATTACTAACAATCCTCTTTCCCCCTCACCGTCTTTTGTTATTTATACTAAATAATTAGACAGTTGACACAAAAGTAATATACAGATACAGTGTGCAGTTTTGTATGAAAAAAATAATCGGGGTAAGATAAGGTATAGTTTGCAAGTTACATAATATTTTACACTGCTGCCCCGCCCAGAGCCCATGGCTGGCTACGACCATGCATATAGGTGATGGTTATCACTTACTATCAGATGAGCCTTAAGTCTTTTCCAATATTAAATAAATAAAGATGTAATTCAGTGGAGATTATATGGCATACTTACGCATCAAATTAACTAGCCATTCACGTCTACAAACAGGATGGAAGGAGGCTGGACAGTTGGGGCATTCTCGCAATTTTTCTTTTTTTCCACAAACAAGGCACCAGGGCGCGTGTAATGTTATAGGTGTCTTCACCGGTGATGTTGAATTCTGGAACACATATTATAATAATAATCCAGGATAATTCATACAGCGCCATCTAGTCACCAGCTAGGAAGTTTGTGTTATGAGTACTATACAACTAATAGAAATACATTATTATAGTGGGGGAGGTTAGGGACTGTTGGTAATGAGGCTTTGAGTGGCCATTAGCAATGTGTCCAGTCAGGTGGTCTTTCCTGGTAACCATTGTTGTAAATCATGGTGAACTAGTAACGAATCTAATTACCAGTACCCTTAGTGCAGGTTTGTGTACTATTTACATTAAAAATATATGTATAGAATTTAATAGTTCACTATGGTCTTAAAAATAATAATATACCCTCAATTTATTTAAGTCACCAGGTAATCAGCAGACCTTTAATAAAAACTAGCTAACAACAGCTGAGTCTGCTTATTTTTTTTATTAATAATCTCAAACTATTAAGAAAAAAAATAAGCAGACCCAGATAGTATATGTGTCCTCATGATAAAATCATACAGATTATTATAATTTATTTTATTAGGACCCTTTCAGTGGATTAGTTGTGAAGTGTGTTACATACACTTTTGCATTTATAATACATGTAAGTATGGATAGCTATATATGGAGTTTTGTAATTAACACTGTAATTTTATAAAACATCAAACATACTAACAGAACACTCAGATCCATCTTTATTCTCCATCTGTTTGTGGACAAAATTATATTTCCAGCATTGATGCAAATAATTTTCAATCTCCTTGAATGTTACAATATTCTTAATGACTAATTCATATTTGTCTTCGGTGCTTGCATCCACATTTAACAAATAATCCAGGCAGTCTTCATTTGATTTGCAATTATCTTTTAAATTTACATAAAATTGATCAAATATCATCTCTGTACCTTGTCTTACAAATTCTTTGAAAGCATTTTCATATTTACCCTGCTTTAGAGGAGTGTGTCTTATGTCATATGTGGTATTGAGATCTGGTTCTTTTAATTTACTTAATTTTACATTAAAAGGTACTATGTGATCCTCTTTTATTTTTCTCTGAAATATAATGTAAAAAGTATTAAATATTATTGTCATTTTTATTATTTAAAATGATTAACTTCTCAGTTTGCCTTATGGTTGACTGGTAGAGAACGCTTAGAGAACTTAGGTGTTAAGTTCGCCATATGTATATTTATATATTGTATTTGTGTATTAAAATTTAAATAAAATAATTAATTAATTAAAAATTTATTACAATATGAAATTTAATTTCAACTATGCTTAAATCAAATAAGTCAAAAAATTTAAAAATAACAGTATAAAATAAGGCTTACTTTTCAAAACAAAGAGCATAGCCAATCCCAATAAGAAAATTCTGTGTTATGTCCATGGTGCTGTTCATGTATATGTGGTACAATGTATACTCATGTGTGGTGGTGTTAATAGCCATTTACCATTAGGTGGACTGTTAGTTTGTCTGTCAATATAGTTACATAAATAAAATATTTATCCAAGTAGAGTACTTAGAGAATTTATTGCATTATAGAGTAAATAAGTGCATATTGTTGAAGAAAAAAATAAATAGCTGTATATAGGCACCTTTCTGGGTATAGTTGGTTGTTGTTTTGCTGGTGAAGATACCTTGTCAGCAGCCCCATAGAAAGGTCTAGAACGTGCAGCGAGATGTAGACTGGTGTATGGGAGCCAAAGTCTCTGTTTTGTTCTACTGATCTCGACGTAATAACAAAGTTCCTTTGTAATTTTAAGTGTTCCATTTTCATTTACTGATATTCCTAGAACTTAAATGTAATAACAATAAATTAATTTATTAGTCAAACAAACACTATGACTATGACTATGACTATGTTTAGAACTTTAGACTGCATAAAAGTTTAGTCCAGTAAAGTTTTTTAGTTTCGCAGCCGTGTCGAGTTCAAGTTCAAGCTGTTAAACTAATTTAAAAAGTAGACATCACTTGTCACCGCTGTAACGAGTATGTTCTTATTAAATTACTTACTTAAATTTACTGAATTAAAGAGAAAACATTAGAAATAGATAATCCATCAAACCTTTATCGTCGTGAAACAGACCCTTTTCATCCTTCACCACTTGGATTTTAGCATAAACTTTTTTACATACTTTAGCGAGTGCTTTCTCACCAAGTGTCCAATGATAAATACTCATTTTTATATTTTCTTGTCAACGGTATGCGAAAATATGTGAATATTATTTTCTTAAGATATAATTCAAATCTAGTAAGGCGGGAATGAAAAACGTGACATTAGTTTCAGATTTTTATAACAAATTCGTATCGCCATCTATTGTCGAGTAGAAACAATTAAGATGCTTAATAGACTACGTATGTTTACTAACTGATAATAGATGGCAGGACATGTATAATATTTTACAGAAATTATATATGTAAGAAAATGTTATATAGTCATGAAACCTTTTTATAGACAATGATGGAATTAAAATAAATAAATTCAAGCAAAATAAATTATCTCCAGTGCTCCCTATACTAATTTTATGTAAATTAGTGATGAAACAAAAAACTCACGTATCAGCCGCGCCGTAGGGTAATCCAACAAGGTAGATATATATAGGCAATACCGTCTTTACCATGAGGGCACACGGGGCCCAAGGAACAATTTTTCTCACACATTTATTCCCAAAAGATTTCTGTCAGGCACACTATTCTTTTTTCACAAATGTTATCAGAATGTATTTGCAAGGCATATACTACGCCATTATACCGATTACTTCGCCTATTCCTATGTTTTTACCTAATGTTTTTTTTTTTACTTTCCAAAAGGGTCCTGAATTCTTGTATGCCCCAGGGCCCCAGCCTAGTTTAAGACGGCGGTGTATATAGGGTGAAAGGGATTGTTAGTAGTGGGGACTATCGACCCCATTGCCATTTTTCATGTCAGTTTAATTTCCACGTGGAGAGGGGAAGGAGATAATTCGTAATGTGGACTATTAAAATAACCTCACTGCTAATAAGATACCACATCACTCCACGTGGTTTCCCCTGGAAACAATTGTGATAAATTCATGGTGAATTTACCACGATGGGCAAACTGACCTGACCTCATGCTCATTTTAACATCCTCCACTGCTGCCCCATCAGCGTAAACCGTCAGCTAAGGTGGTTGAACCATTCCGTTATAATCATCCCATCGTGGTTGTATTAGGATAGGAAATTTGAAATCTATCAATCAATTAATCAAATATGAGTAAAGTATGTTTTTAACAAATTTTATTACTTTGCAATTACGCCTTCTTATAATATTTATATTATAATTTCTTATAATATGAAATAGAAATTGTTTGAAAACTGTTAAAAAACTGCGGGAAATTCAATTATTTAAAACGCAACGCTATTGGCGGAGCGAAAGGGACGTAGAAGGTTTACTTTTATGCAAACTAAGATAACTCAAAAATTGAAATTTTGATTTGTCTCTGTTTAGATAGGTTTCGTTTAATATATAGTTTCTTATCTCCAGATTATACAGAATAACAGTTTACAACCTATTTCTTATCGAAAATAAAATTAAATCTTATAATTTCTCTAATAAAAACTATAACTGAGGATTTTATCATTTCGTAAAAAACTAATATTTTAGAGTTATCTCAGTTTGGATGCAGTTGCACTATATGACGAAATGTCAAGGTCAATTTTACCGCGTCGGTTATTTGTGTTTGTTGACGAGTGTTTGTTTTTATTGTGATTTCATTGGTACATTTGGTTTTTAAATTGCATTATGTTCAATAAATAATTACAGTAAAGACATTAGAAAATGACCGACAACGATTTTCATTCAGCGGATCAGTTAATTTGCCAAAAAAAGTTGTGTTCGTGATAACCACATTTTTTACATTAAATCATGATTTCAAGTGTGTTGAAATGAAAGGAGCAAAAGTTTTAAGGTAATTAAGAATGATATATAATGTTTACACTATCTTGCACGGGTATTCTGGATTAATTTTGATATCAAAATTAACATAACCTAAAACAAAATAAAAAAATATTACTACGATTTCCATTGCTTTTTTTATTTGTCATAGATAAGATTTGATTGTTATATGATATACCTATGATATTAGTTAAAAATATAAAGCACTGTAAAATTGTAGTAAGTGATGTGATGCCTGCATATCATGTAATTTTATTGCTTTATCATTACAATAGACCCATTAACCGAAACACAGATTACAAAGAAAACTGCTTGGTAGCTGAAATGGGGAAACTGAACTCCCCACTCAGTTCAGATATAATCACGCAGATATCTTCGTAGATTAGCTTTGTAGTCTGTACGGCTGCCTTTGCTAACGATATACGCTGGCGGGGCACTACTAAAGAATAATGCGATGAGCATTTTTTTTATTTCCCCATATTAAAAGATAACCGCTCATCTGATAGTAAAATATACCGGGGGGAAGGGGATTGTTAGTAATGTGGACTAATAACCCCATTGCTAGCAATGTACCATGTCAGGTACCCCACCACGCGGTTCCCCCTGGAAACCATCTATAGGCTAACTCACCTGACCTCATGCTCATCTTATCATCCTCCACTGGTGCCCCGCCAGCGTAAACCGTCACCGCAGGCGGGAGCATCATTCCATTATCATACATAAAAAAAAAAAAACCTTAATATACCGGGGCGAGGGGGATTGTTAGTAGTGTGGACTCATGACCCCATTACTAGCAATGTACCATGTCAGGGTGACCTCCACGCGATTCCCCCTGGAAACCATCGTGATAAATTCCTGGTCAATTTGTTTTAATATTTTCAAAAAATATACGTTATCATCTATTTAAAAAAAACCTTAATATACCCTTCTTGAAAAGCCCATGCAGTAATCTCTATAGAAAACCTCGGCAAGAAGTTTTCCACAATCTAAATGTACGTGGAAGGGAATACATCTGAAACCGCACCATTTAGGAAGTTTTATCAATATTCAATAGATTTTGTGTGAAAGAGTAACAAACATCCTTCCATATTCACAAAGTTTCGTGTTTATATTCGTAAAATAAGCCCTGATGACACACGAGGCGACCTAAAACAAAATGCTCACTACTGCTCCGATAACGCGCCTGATTTTAGTGTTGTGTGTAGGCCGTTTTACTTTAGAATACAATTTTTATCAGTACCAAATACCTATTGATATTACAAAAATGATTGAAGCGATCTCCATATCAATTTGACACCAGCGCGTTATTTAAGATGGGCGCATGTGATTGGTGGATCTTGCGAGGGGCGTGGCGCGGTACAGCGCAGCTTCCAATCGTCAGCTTCATCTTTCACCGAGATTGCAGATAGGGGACCGATTGTATATAGGGTGCGTTGCGATTATATAAGTTTGTGTGTAGGTAAATTCCTGACTTAAATGAACTGTAATAAAGATTCATTTTGAGTTCTACAGTTATTTAGGGTTTATTATTATATGTACATGGCAATATTACAGAAATTGCCATGTAAATATAATAATGCCATGTGTATGTATGTGTATGTATGGCTATTGGTGTATTGAGTGTACTATACGACAATGAGAAATTATTGATTGATGGTGTGATGAGTAATGAGGTTTGAAAAGTATAAACATAAAACCAGGATCTTCAGTTCCATACTGGAAAATTCACATAGGCTGGATTTCACTAATCGCAGTATAAACAAGTTTAAGGAAACGGAGTTCAGAGTATACTCGAAAAAAAAGATCGATGTTGATCTCGTTTTACTTTAAATAGAATTCACCAGCATTATAGAGATCGCGTTTACCAAAATGTAGTTTAGATTTTCATTCGTTCACAGTGTTACACGCTCATAAAATAATATTTGATGCAATGGGTAATTTAACTAAAATATAGTACTTTTAATAAATATTTGTAATTCAGTCATGTGATAATTCGGATAAATTTTTAGGTTTTAATTTAATAAGTAGGTACTTGTTGACTACAATATATATAACAACAACCTTTACCTATAAACAAGGCAAAACATTATTTTATTGAGAATTTTTTTACACTAGGGTCCTTTTTTTTTATTCCCGATATTAATTTGTCAAAAATTTGATTGATGTCTATTTGACAAGTGACAGCTGCTTTCACGTTTAGAGAATTAACCGTAGGATATCGGGCGTTCAGAATTTGTAAACGATTTAGCGAAAACTAGTTCAGTTTGTAGTGGGGAAACGCAAAATGAAGCTTTGAACTTGTTTAAACGGTTTTAATGTTTAGTTCGAACTAATCGCGATCAGTTTTGAATTAAAAAGGCCTACACACGACATTATAATGGAGAGCACTCTGGATCGCTTTCTAGATCACCTCGTTTGTAGCGATCGATTCCCATTTTAGCCTCACTACCGTTGCTCTGATATTAGTCTATTGAAATCTCGTATGTAGCCCGTTTTGTACTACTCATCATAATATGAACATTTATTATGAACTAAAATACTTTAGTGCAAACACGAGTTGATAATTTTTTTATTCATAATTTCATTCATTTCATTTCATTAACTCTAAAGTTACATTGAAGTTTTAGTAGAGATCCCTAATTATTTCTATTAATAAATATATATCTATGTTACTCAGGGATTTTGTAGCATTATAATTATAATGCTATAAAATTCCTGAGTAACATATGCTATATTTACAATTACAAATCTTCTTACACAATTTGTAAGAAGATTTGTAATCGGTCTGTTAGTTTTTGAGTTTATTCAGTACAAACATAAATAATGCAAATCTTTCCTCTTTATAATATTAGTAGGTTACCTTTGTCCTTTTCGCGACATTATAGTGAAAGTGTGACGGCAGATGTGTAACTTTCGCCAAATTATAATACGGCACGCAATGCGCACGCGGCTTATGACAATGATTATGAGGACATGTGTCTTATATGGCCTTGGTTTTTTTTAAATATTTTATACTAGCTGACTTGCACAATTTCGCCTGCATCAGTTACTTGACATTTATCTTTATATTTCGCCCAATTTACATAATAAGTGTCAATGTAATGTATAAGTTGTCATCATCTGATTTTCTTATCTCATTTTTTGGTGTCGATATAAGCATAATATCAGGATGAAATTACAAGTTTAAGAATTTTGATATTTTAGTCGTCTGGATTTTTAACGCAAGAGCAGTATCACAGGTGTCACATGATAACGTAATGTTGTGTATATAGGCGACAGTTACTACTTACTTCCCCTCCGATCGATACCCCGTCCAGTTCAAACGGGGAT